TGACTCGCGAAGAATATGATTCGGAAGAAAGGAAGAGATCAAAGGAGGAAAAAGTTTTCCTTATGACGAATCTGAGGGATCTGATAGTCCAGGAGGGAGCAGCAGTAGCGTGTGCAAAGCGGAGAGACGCTCTCTGTTTCATTCGATTCCTGATAGAGCAGATCTCAGTACCTGCATTAAGCACTTGTGTTAAAATGTTGAAGGAAGGCGATGAGCGAACGAAAGCCATGTTCTTACTAGCAATGCTGGATATGCAGCAAAGTAAACCGATGAGGGTGAACATGAAAGAACCTGAAGAATTGGAACCCATGAAAAAGATAGACGAGATCAGGAGATTCTCAAACAAGGAGTTGAGGCTCACTAAAGAATCTATGGGAGCATTGCCGAAATCCAGTGAATACTGTGCACCGATCAAGAAGAAGTCATATAGCTATGTGTCCGGGATTATAGGGATAGCATACAATCCTTTCCTGAGTGAAGACATACGTGATTGCTTCTTTGATTATGAGCAGGCGGTGTTACTAAGGTTCTGGACGTCCAGAATTGTAACGACTAAGAGCGTTAACAATCCACAGGCCAAATTGGGATTGGTCTTGGAAGAAGAGGTGACTGCACCTTCAGTACCAAAATCCGACAAGAGAGTGGAATTTGGGTTGGGATTCTCAGATGAATTACTGAGAACGAGCTTGATGGCAGTGTGGGAATTGATGAAGCCATCGTGGTGTCCTAGTCCCAACGCTGACTCAATATTACGGGCGACACAAGACATACAGAGGGAACTGAATGCGGACTGTAACCTGCGTGACCTCAACATCATATATAATGTGATGATAACAGCCTCTAAGAGCAACGGAGAAGATAGAGTGGAGTTGCCTGGCTGGGGACCAGAAGACTGGGTCAAACCTGGTAGCTGTCTGGCGGAAGTCTGTGGACTAGAGGGTCACGTTTGTGGAAGTCTAGACTGTGTGAAAACCCTGGAGAAACAACACAAGCAGTTGACAGTATTGTTTGGAAATGTAGTGATGAAAGCAAGAACGGAAACGGAACTGATAGCAGATTGCCATGGAGGAACCGATGTGAATCTAGTGACAGCACTAGGATTCTACAGCATGTTTGGTTCTTTAGAGTCACTATTGAATCTAGAACAGAAACATGAGATGGTCACAGCCATCAGCGTAGAAGTATTCCCAGGAGTTCTGTAGACTGAGCAGAAGTATATAGGAAAATGGAGGGAAGCAATCGAAACGGAGATGAACATCAGACACAGCGAAACTTATTGTAGACCATCAGGAGCACGATATTTGGTGGGTTCAACGTTGGCTCCAATGTGCAAGAGCAGATACCCTGTACATTTCGTGGCTGTGGACGTGAAGAGTACAAGAACGATCGTGGATCAAGCTTTCTCAGTGCCAAAGTGCGTGAGATTGGCGAGAATGTCTGAAAAGTCTTACGAGTTACTATGTAAGATGTTCTCAGCAGTTCCAGAGAGAACCAAAGAGGAGTTGGAGTCAATACTAGGAAAGAAGTTCATGGGATATGTGAGCGGGAACTTCAGTGACTTTGAAAAACAGAAACAGAGAGGATCAACTGTCACAGATTACAATGCAGTAGATGAGAATGATGAGATCCACCGAGTGATGATGGAAGTGGAACCATTGCTGGAAGCTTCGGGAAAACGGAATTGGAGGAGCATCATGTTGACACATGACGAGTTTCCTTGCCACTGCTTGCTGCAGACCTGGTGGTATCCCAAGCGTAGTAATCTGGTGTTGATCTGGGACTCTGGAGAGCTGCTCTCCATGGGTTTACCAGATTCATCACAGCCCATAACAATAGTGATAGTGGGAGTTATGATGGCGATACGATGGCTGGAAGCTCATGTGAGAGAAAATAATAGACAGGAGGCACCGACGAGAGAACAATTGCAGAAATTAGATTGTCTAAAAGATTTAGATCTTTTTGAGACAATGTGCAAAGTTCTAAACATTCCAATGGAAGTGAAGAAGATATGGGCAAGAAAACGATTGATGCCATGGTTCAGAGCTTACATGACTGCATGGTTGTACGAGTATGCGAAAAAACATATGTCGAAACATGGCAGAGTGTACAGTGAATATCAGCTGGACATTGAGGCAGGAGCTTTCAAGCGAGCTTTCGTGACCCATCGGAATGCAGTGACCACCGCTGTGAAAAGAGTTTCCAGGACGAGCGAGCGTAGTGGAAATGAGAAGGCAGAGATGCTGAAAGAAGACTTGGAGAGAAATGTGACGTTGTGTCTCCACAACAGCTTCTGTAGAAACAGAGAATCAAACGTGGATCCCCTACCTTGCTGTAAACAGAGGGTGGAAGAGCAGAAGTGTTGGAGGACGGCTTCCAACAGCGTCAGGATAGTCAATGACGTGCTACAAGACACGGAAACCGAAAGTGCGGAGTCAGTGTCACAGGAGGAGGAAATGGAGCATTGACGAATGGTCGAGAAAACAAGAGGCAGCAAGAAAGAAAATTAGAAGAATTTAGAAGTTTTAGAACTTCTAAACGACGAAAAAAGAAGAGAACAAAGGGATGATGAAGAAAAGTTAAAACTCAGAATTGTTTTATGTGTGTGAAAAACTCAAGTGAGAAACCAAGCAACCAAGTTGTAATTGAAAACTGAAACATTTAGTTGAGTTTTGAAATTGTTGCATTTATAAATTTGCATTTTGGTTTTAGTTGAAGTGGCTTTAGAGACACTCACTTATTATTTATTTAGAAAGGCTTGAGGGAAGAGTATATTTAAATATTCCAGCCTGCATGATTGTTTTTAATCACTTAGGAAGACTGGTCACTTTGTGGTGACATGAAAAACTTGAGTAACTTCTTGAGGAGGGAGGTTGTTGCATTGTTCCTTCTAACCACAAAGTTTCTTAGTTTTAATATTCAGGACAATAAACAAGCAAGATTTCCGAAGGGAAGGAGCATAGTAGGATAATTTTAGCTTGTTGGTTGGCAGGACTGTCCTGCAAGCCAACACCTTTTAAATCTAGGAGAAAAAGTTTCAATCGGGACATTGACACTGGAAGTCAGAAAATATGTTTTATCTTAAGTCATATCCTCAATGTGCAGATTAATGAAAGAATTTGAAGGCTATAGTGATGTAGTATGATGCCATTTATATTCTGCAGTGAGTCGATGTGACGTAGATAAAAGTAATTTCGTGCATTTTGTAAATTCTGTTCGATGACACTGTAATCATTTAGAACATTGCGCGATTCAATGAGGACATTGACCGGACTGTCCGGGGAGTATGTGACATTCGACCAGAATGGCCAAAATGCAATCTCTGCAGAATTCGGAATTTTAGCAGTAAGCCTTCCGGATTGGTGATTTTTATGAACTAAGGGCGTTATTGGAACGTTTAGCCAAACGGTGAAGGCTGGAATATTCTAGTATTTTAAATTTTCAAAAATTCGAATGATGACGTCACATTTCTGAGAAATGCTGAAACGGCCATTTTAACAAAAAGCGAGTGAAAAACAGAACAACTTTTATCTGCGATTGCGAACAGTACGAAAATCGAGATTGGAGAACGACAACAAACTACAGAATAGCAGAGAACGTTCCGAGTTGCAACTATTGTGCTGCTACAATAGTTGCAAGGCCGTTGCCAACAACGGTGAAGGGTGAGAACCAGCCTTCCGGGTTAGCAAGAAATCAAGAGTAAGGAGCTTGATTCGGCGGATTCGAGAATCCGGAGGGGTCTCGGGACGGAAACTTTTATTAACTCACATAAACTTTTAGCATCCTGTCATGTCCTGACTTGAATTTAACTGATATTTTGATTAGTTTTGACAAGGATGAGGTGCTAGGAGTTGGGGGAAAGGGTTGATCCATCTTCGATGGAGATGATGATTTTTATCTACTGAACAAAAACAATAGTAATATGATAAGTAGTAGCCCTGTTTTTAGGAGTGACCTCGTGGTCTGGGGATACTGAGACCCAGCCATGAGCTCACTATTTTTGCATGTAATTCAGTTAATTTGAGCGTTCTGGTCGAAGCCGGAGAACAGTAACGTTTTTGTCGACCTGATGTAAGAAAGACCACCGAAAAGTACTGGCTTGGTAGAGACGGTGAAAAACATGCAAAGCTCTGTTTAGACGCTAGCCAGTCGTCTTAAGACTTAGTTTTGTTATCCGTCGATATGTATCTTCCGGGCGAATGTTACATGAGGCCCATCATCTTATTTGCTTAGTCGAAAGGTGTTTTGAGTCCCAACTGGACTGTATTTGCAGATATTGTAACAATAATATTGATTTCAGACATTTAGACACATGTCATGGCTTCACAGAATGCTCTAACACTGTGGAGAAGTTATTGAAGGCGACACGACAAGCGTAAAACAAGTTATCAATTCTCCACCTTTTTTTTGCACGTGCTTTTTATTTATACAATATACACGCGGTTATTATTTTATTACACATTTGTCCATTTATTGGATACTTAATTTACTCTTTCTTTCAAGGGAAACGGACTTTATCCTCCAGATGTTCCGAAGTCAACTTGTTCCATATAATTGGGCTGCCCGTACGCGGAATGATCAGGAAGTTCCATTTATTGTCTGAAATGATCAAATATTGGATATAATCTAATAATTTGACTGAATTTACTAATTGGAGGAAAACATCCAAATTCATAAAATTGGGGGATAAAATGGAGGAAAAAGTCCCTGTTTGAGAAATGGAGGATAATGGTTGAGGATATCGCCTGGAGGATAATGACCGTGGAGGATAAAGTCCGTTTCCCATAAATTTCGGTTTTTCGTCATGCTTAACTGAAAAAGAAACAAACGAATTCTTATTCAGTGTTTCTTTTTCTTTGTTTTTTGGAATCCCGACTGATTTCTTCAAGAAAAAAAATTCAGATCAATCAACTACCTGACGCAATCTCTCTATCTTTTTAGATTCTTTTTATTTTTGGACACTTGATCACGCGCGACTTAATCCTTTTTCATCCGGGAGGTTGATGTTAGAGCGAAAAAAGCGATCAGCATTTTAGATTTACTTATCAATATAAACAAACCAATTATCGGCAATTAAAGTGATCGTTTTTTATTTTTTTTGGGAGTTATGAGTTAAAATGACACTCGAATCAAATACGGCACTAAAATGGAGAAGAGTAGCGAATACTTCAGGACCACAACCACGACCGCGACATGGACACCGAGCAGTTGCTATAAAGGAATTAATGATAGTTTTTGGTGGAGGAAATGAGGGAATTGTGGACGAATTGCATGTCTACAATACAGGTAGATAGCGTAACTTTTATTCAGTTTTTGCTTGAAATGATTTTTTATAGACAAACTTTATTCAACTAAGAAAACGATATTCAGTCCCCACCAGTTTGTATTGTGAGGATCTATACTTTGCGTGGGGGGAGGATCCGATAGAGAATAGTTTTTTTTTTCAATTGTATCTATGATTTCGATGACCTTTAGCAAAGTTATTAACTCAGGCAGTGAAATTATCAAATGCGTTAAAGTGGTCAGTTAAAGGCAAGTATCTTGAAATCCTCGTAATTTTCAGTAAACAGTTTGAGTAATTATGTGATAAAATAGATACAGAATTTTTTTTTCAATCAAATATGGAAGTAAATTACAAAAGTTAAAAAAAGGGTTTGTATAAACAAAATAAAATAAAAAGTTAAGAGTTGAACTTTGATATTTCGAGCGCCTCGGCAACGCATGCAGCATTTCCCAGTTGGACGGCGATGCCGATTCGCTGTTTTACAGAATAAATATTAATTGCATCACGACTGAAATTGTTTCAATGGTGCACAAAATTTCTAATTCTTCTTTTATGATATCGTTATTTTGGCTACCGCTTTTTCTTGCATTGATCATTTTTTTCTATATTTTTTTTCGAAAAAAAATTAGGAAATGTAGTTAGTTGCAAAACGCATAAAATATAAGTTTTTCGAATTTTGAAAATTAATTTTTTTTGTTTTTGATTTTCCTGAAAATCAGTTTCGTCGGAAAGTTTGTTTTAGTTGCATAGCAGCCGGCTATCCACGCCATGGTAGCTTTATTTAAACGAAACAAGACCAATTCCTCACCCGGCTGTCCTAGGTATGGTAGCTTCAATTAAACGAAACTGAAGAAATTCCTCAACCCATTTCCCCTGCAATTAGGAAAGAAAGATTTGACCTTTTTGCTGTAGCACAAATGGATGAACCAATATAGATTTTTTCCAATAGGTGTTTCAGTTTTAAAAAAAGTTCAACCTCACTGCTGTAGGATTTTTCATTTTGGGAAGATGACGTTCAATGGCAATCAATCTGAAATTACTGCAAAACTTTTTGAACTGTTTCAGTGAATTTTTGATCAAGTCGATTAAAAATAAATTTAACTTGCATCACGACTGAAAATAAATTTAACTTGCATCACGACTGAAAATGCCTTTGGGTTGTAGAGAATTTTTTTTTTTACATCGCATCAGTTGACAAAAATCATTTTTTATCAGCCGATTGCCCAAAAATGGTAAAAAAAAAAAAAGGGCAATTTTAATTGAATTTTTAAGTATGGGAAAGCTCTTAATTATTTTTTTTCCAGGTACACAACTTGTTTATCAATCAGATATTTCTGTAGACCTCTTTTGTCAACTAACAGACATTTTACAATCATGTCCCCTCTTGTTTCCCCTGTTTTTACGAGTCGATGTACGAAGTTCAGCCTCTTATATAGGTCGTGATTTTTATTTCGTTTTTTTTTTCCAGGAATAGTCTTAAAATTTTGGATCTGAGCCCCCAAACTAGTGAATATTGTACAGAGGAGTTTAAAACAGATGTGTAATCGACAAAATCACAACCACCAATCTATATCAAACGTTTTCTGAGAAAAATCAACGAGGCTTACTTATGCATGTGGCAAGTGCTATGCACTTGTGCAGTTTGCAACACCCTGAAAACTGAAAAGATTTACGTTTGATAAAAGCAGGTATAATTAAAAAATTATTGGGATCGGGTCTTAATTTTTTTTCAGGCGCTTTGCAAAAATTTTTCACTTTCAAAAAAATTAGTTTTCTCAAAAACTACTCAACCGATTTTTTTTAAAAAAAGTGGTTACAATGTGAAGTGCGCCCACTAATCTAGGTCCCTGCATAAATCCCTAGTCTCTTTTTACCTTACCCCATTTTCTACAGCCTTTGAAAAAGTTTGTGGGGGAATTTTTTACCCATATTTTTGGACTTTTTACATTTTCTCGAAAACTACCCCCCAAAGTCTCAGATTTTAGCTTTAATGGGTAGAACAAGTTACGCACAATGTTTTTTACACAAAAAGTTATGAAGCTCGGATATAAGACATATTGTTCAAATGTCTTATAAACGTGTCACTCACAGTGCCTCTGTATTGCAAAGTGAACCTTGTTGACAGGCCTTTGTCTTTCTTCTGCCTGTCCGTGATGTTGATTTTCGGCCCCAACAGTTTATCAATAGTTTCTCTGACGATGGGTTCGTAGAATTGGGGTGGATACTGGTTTGCTTCCCATATCTTCTTTGCCTTTTGAGTACCGGTATGGAAATTGTTCCATGTCGATGTGGCATTAAAGATGCGGTGAATACAGCCCTAAATCATATTGCGTTTGTAACCACTCGGTGCAAAGGCTCTGAAGGAAAGGATCAGTCCAGTATCTGTGGGTTTCTGATACCAACTCACACATGCATCTTGGCATTTTACGAACATGTCCAGAAAAGGGATACCGTTGTCTCTCGACCTTTCGATAGTAAATTCCAAGTTGTGATAAAGCGTGTTGACCCTGTCTAAGATGCTGTCGATAGTCACTCTGCGCCGATCTCAAGATATCGTCTACAGTTTTTTGCTTTTTCCCTAATGGCCGGAACAGTCTCCTCTTCTTGGCACTGAGTGCAAATCCACTGGTCACCATACATGTTCTTTAAAGCCATCCTTCTTCTTTGAAATTCGAAAGTTGAGATTTTTTCAGAAAAAGAAGTCACTATTACTTGCGTTTCTTGACTTTTTCCAACTGACTGTTGGCTACGTTTTAACATATAAATAAATAAAGATTCGAAAGTAATTATAGAAGAATTATAGCAGGCAGGCTGGTTTTCTGCCTGCCTGCAATGCATTGAATTGCATTGTTAGCAAGAAGATTGATGCGACCATTTGTAAATCGGAACGGTATTGATGAGAAACTTCAAAATCTATCTTATTGATTTTTATTTGTCTTTAAAGACTATCGTTCACTAGACTTTATCCCATAAACAACTATTCGTAGAAATCTGGAAAAGTAAATTCGCTATATTATGAAACCCCAGTATTTTCCCAGAACTTCTTTTTGGTACCAGTAGTGAAAGGATTGGCTTGTGCGCCTAAAGTCTGGGGCTCGAGTTCCGGTTGAACCTTGTTTTTCATATCTGAAGTTTGAAATTTTGACTGAGAAAACATGAATTGTCTGTCTGGAAATCTTATCTGCTTATTTTCTGTCGACTTAATTTCAAAGCGCGGGTTTTGTTTGATGGTGCAGCCAGCTTTCGCCGTTTTAGTGTGCCTTATTTTTTTATTTAAGAGGGGTAGCATTGATGGCTGTCTGTGTCAAGGAAAATTTATCTTTTTTCGGCTTGTGGACTAAATTTGAATAGACGCTGACCTCCAACTATTTGAATTCGACTTGCAAGTTTAACGTTAATTTAGTTTTTGGTAACACTCATTCAGCATTTCTTCACTTTTTCCAACTACATTTTAGAGCCTTTTCCAACTACATTTTTGAGTCAAATTTAGTCCACAAACCGAGAAAAAAAATTAACCGGAAATTCGGACAAATAATTATTTGAAAAAAGAAAAAATTTTCTCGATTTTCTTAAGTTATTAAGGGTAATGAGCGTAGTCTTTACTCTCATATATGTCTTGCCAATTTTTTTTCTGGAAATATACTTTAAAAATTGTTCACGCTCATACTTCACTTTTGCAGATTGACATGTTTTTTTTTAAAGTTCATTTCATTTCCTTTGTTAAAAGGAGAGCAAACTCCACTATCGAACAGTAAAAATGTAAAGATCTTAAAAAGTGTGATCAAATTTTTGTAATCTTTACGCATTGATCCAGTTTTCTCAAATTGGGTTAATTTTATGAAAAAATTGTGACTCATAAATTGCTCAAGAAATCCAATGATGTTGAAGGACATCTATTTTTTTCTTCGAAGTTCGAAGGCTGTTTTTTAAAATATAAGTCAGTTTTTTTTCTGTTTCTTTGCATTCATAACTCTTTTCCAACTGTCAGTCGGCTATGTTTGCAGTTTTTTTTTTGAATTTTGTTTCGGAAATCAGAGTGGTCGGTAAATTACGTGCTACTTGCACAGCGACCTGCTATCCTGGTCTGTTAAATGGAAACTGTTTGTTTTAGTGTCTAACCAGTGGTTTGTTCCTGCCGTGAGAGGCGAAATTCCCCCAGGATGTGCCGCTTATGGATTTGTTGTAGAAGGGACCAGACTTCTCATTTTTGGAGGTGAGTAATCCTGTTCAGATATAATAGAGTCGATAAACATTTGCACACCAGCAGGGCTGCCAATTGGGAACATGATCTTGTGTTTAATTATCATTCGATGATGTTTGGAGAACTTGAAAACAGCATTTTCTGCAAAATTTTCGGGAACTTGCCCGCGGCTCGAATATGTTGGCAAAAAGTCTTGTTTGAATATGTCTTGTTTGCATTTTGAAGATTGCGACGTCAATTTAGTAGACCTACAAAAATGAATATGCAAAAATGTTGCAAAAAGTCTTGTTTGAATATGTCTTAGTTGCATTTTGAAGATTGCGACGTCAATTTAGTAGACCTACAAAAATGATAGTTTTTATTCTTTTTGCTGAAATTTGAGATCCGTAACATCATGGTGATCTTTGTCTGCAAGAAAATTGACTTTTGCTGCATTCTCTGAAGGTATGGTGGAGTTTGGAAAGTACTCAAATGACCTCTACGAACTGCAGGCAAGCAGATGGGAGTGGAAGCGACTCAAACCCAGACCACCGAGGAATGCGCCCTCTCCCTGTGCCCGGCTGGGCCACAGCTTCAACATTCACAGCCACAAATGCTTTCTATTCGGCGGACTGTCTAACGAAAGCGACGATCCCAAGAATAACATACCTCGGTGAGGCCTTTTTTGTTTATTATCTAGAAAATGTCAATATATCGTGTATAGTTGGTTGCACGCTTCGAATAGAGAAACTGCGAATAAAGAAACTGCAATTTAATAATCTAATAAGCAATGAAAATGAAAACAGTTATCCATCTTGTCAGATCCAGGTATCTGTGTCTATATTTTCCAAAAATAAACTAGTTTCATGGCAAAGTTATAGATTCCACGTTGTTTAATCTTGAGCGAAGTCCACGTGATTGAAACTTGAGCGAAGGTTTTTTTAGCTACTTGAATGATCTGTATGTACTGGAATTGCGACCCAGTAGTGGAGCCACTTCATGGGAGTTGCCGTACGTCACCGGCCAGCCTCCCCCCGCCCGGGAATCACACTCGGGGGTGGTGCACTGGGACGAGGCCAACAACAGCACCAAGATATTCATCTACGGCGGTATGAGTGGAGTCAGACTGGGCGATTTGTGGGTACTCGACATAGGTGAGGACAACGATGAGATATACTCGGTTACATTTTTTTACCCGTGCGATCAGCAAGGGTATTGCAATCGAGTACTAGACTTTTTCCCGTAAATAACTTTGTTCACACGACTCATCTACCGTGGTTCATAATATATTCAGTTTTCATATTCAATGAATTCCCGGCACATTTAGTCTGGAGGTAACGAATACGGCTGGGACGGCAAAGGTCAAGAGTTCGAATCTGATCAGAATGTTTTTTTTTTCAAACGGGAAATATTCTGTTTCAAGTAAAATTTTCGGCCTTTTAATTATCTGCTTGTGTTTTATCGGCTTAGTTGCCACATATTAGAATCGATTTTTTTTTTGCTGCCGCAATTGTTATTCAATTTGTTTGTAGTGTTTCGTATTTCCTGTTTTTGTTTTTTTGTTTCGCTTAAAAATATTAATCGCCCCAATTTATTACGGCCTATTTTTTATCGGCGTAGTCAAGAATTTTTGGGTCGTATAAAGGGAAATACAATTTTTTGCTCCCCTCCTCATTTTTATATTGGTTATAATTTTACCAACTCGGTTTGTTAAAATTTCATTTTCAATTTTTTTTTCGGCTTATGTTATATCGGCTTAGTAGCCACTGATTGGGTTGTTTGATGAGCGAAATTTTTTTATGTGCGTGTGGGTTTCGCCTCTAAATCAATTGTGTGTGTAACAAACAACTTTTCAGGGGCGGATCTAGGGTTTTCTCGAGGGGGGGGGGGGGGGGCGGATTTTCAAAATTTTTTCGACTTTTTATAGGTCGACCAAATTGATTTTCCGAGCTCTCCTAAAGAGCACTAAAATGACTATGTTTTGGCCAAATTTTCGGCGCCGCAGGCAAATTTTTGAAAAAATAGGTTAAAAAAAGTTTTTGGGCACTTTTTGGAAAGTTTTAATGTCAGTCGGCCAAAAATGGATTTCTTAAAAAGTACCAAATAGACAGATTGATTGCGTGTTTGTTAAGCTCAGTAAATGACTCGCAATATAACTCAAAATGGACAATTTGTTTCAAAAATAATGAATTTATTTTGCCATCTAGAGAACTACGTTTGGAGTCGACCAGTGATCCAGGGCATATGTCCCTCCCCCCGTAGTCTGCACACGGCGACCTTGATAGGCGACTACATGTACGTGTTCGGAGGATGGGTGCCTCTATACATGCCACTCTCGTCGTCGGAGGAGCAGAACAGTCCGAGTGGAAATGGAGGATCCGCTGGCCCATCTGCGACTGCTCAAGAGAAGGAGTGGAAGTGTACTAACACGCTGGCAAGGCTCAACATAAGTGAGTTTATTGTTTTATTCCTCGAAGGAGGGGCGGATTACTCAAAAATGTTGAGTTTTTTGGCGTCTATCTTTTTTTCCGGCAAACAAATGAGTTTTATGACGCTTCGAATTTTTTTGAAAGTTTTTGAAGCGCTTGACCAAAAATCTGCATCCTAAACTCGCTACTGCTTTAAAATTCTCTTAATTTGAACTTAATTGAAAAACTTGGGAATATGAAATTATGTTTACCCTCTTCTGTATGATTTTTTTCTTTGAAGACGAATATCTGAATATATGTAACAAAATGGCTACAACTTCCTAAGTAAAAAATAAAGAAATGATTTATTTACCAAAAGAACGCAATTGTCTTTTCTATAATTTTAAGTTAAAATTCTGTTCATGGTACTGAAAAGTGAGTACCCGCATTATTTTGAAGCTCAATGCTATCGCCTCCAAATGCAACTGGGTTCTCACAGGTTTTAAAGCTGCATCGTTCAAATTATAGTCAGTGCCAAAATTGATGGCAATATCTTTTCGGTCAGCGAATCTGATCGAAGTTCATTGACCTAAAACTGCTCATTTAGACGTCGAATTTCATCTTATTACTGATTTCCACACATAAAAATGGTTTCCGAAAAACTAATTAACCTAAAATGCTATAGTTTTTGACCGATTTAACTGCTCAAGTTCACCGATATACCAACAATTTGGAATTAACAATTAAAAAATCCTGGAAAGGCTGACAGAACGACGCCTTCGAGAGCAAAAAAGCCAAAAAAAAGTATTTAAGCGTGTTTGAGGCATTTGAGAGTGCCCCTATTCCGAGAAAGGTTTGGTCTCAAAACGGTGTAATTCACCCGAAAAGGGTTAACCCTCAAATATTCTTGACGTTGAAAATTTTAAAAGTGAGAGTTATGAAATTTATTCGGTAAATTTAGAAAAGTGGCAAATAAAAGGGGAAAGAATAAATGTTTTTTAGTCTCCTTAACTTTTATATATATTTTTTTCAAATTGTCTGTTTACTTTGTGGTTAATAGTGGTGGGTGTGTTCATTTCAGAGACTATGCGGTGGGAGAGTGTCAGTGTGGGAGAGATGGTTGGGGGCGGGGGCTACCACGAGGCAGATGTGGCTCCTAGAGCAAGGGCAGGACACTGCGCTGTGGGCATCAACTCCAGACTATACGTGTGGAGTGGACGAGATGGCTACAGGAAGGCATGGAACAACCAGGTGAAAAAAGAAACTAATTAATCAAGACTATGTAATTATCGTTCAAGCATCAGAGAACGTTCGGAACGCAGTTCAGCTGCACTTGCTTATTTGAAAACCTTTCGAGTTTAACATTTTGTTTTAGTCGTATTAATTGTGACTTTTTACTCAAAATTGTCATTTGACCTGAATTGGTCCAAAAACTTGAAATTTTATACTGTTTTTTTTTCTCGAAATGTTTGGAAAGGCCTGATGCTTAGCGGGTAAATCGAGAGTTTTCGTGCTCATCTTTCAAGGTTTGCCAGATTTCAATTTTAAAAATAACTGGAACGTTTGGAAACCTTTTCGACTGTTTCTGCAGGTGTGCTGCAAAGATCTGTGGTACTTGGAGACAGAGCGTCCAGTGGCCCCTGGAAAAGTGCATCTGGTGAGAGCGAGCACACACAGTCTGGAGATCAGCTGGAGTCCAGTTCCCACGGCAGATGCCTACATACTCCAGATCCAGAAGTACGACCAAACCCCCCTTCCCCTCCCGGCGGTCACTCCAGTGGGGGTGGGGACTCCAGTTGGAGAGGCACAGCTCAACGAGAAACAGAGATTGGCCTTGTCTGCTTTGTACAGCAACAGCAAAGCTGGTAAATATCTGAAAGCTAAGAGAATTGCTACTTTTTAGTATTTCTGAGTTGGTTATATTTAGTGGTTTTAGATTTAAAAAAGATTTGAAGTGTAGACAGTCAATGTGCAAGCTCAACGGAAGATTTTAACTTGTTTTGAATGCCATAAAAATAGAGCAATGAAAAATGTCATTTTCGTTAGAGACTTGCATGTTCATCCGATCTTTGCTAAATTGAGCTGAAAACTAAATTTATTGAACTATCTAGAAGTTTTTTTCGGAATCCGAGCTTGTTTTCATGAGCACCTGACACTGAGTGAAAAGTTTACCATATGCTTGGAGTCGTTGAAAAGTTATGTAAACAGGAATCAACTATAGCTATAGCCGAAGTTTTTCAGGGCAGTTGACTGGCAATGAAAGTTTTTTATTTATAGTTTTGCATAAAATAAATCGTTTTTGCATTTGTGTTTAAGGATGCATTTTAAAGAGTTTTCGGTTTTTTTGTTGAAATTGTTTCAGAAGTGTCAGATTTGGTCTCGAACCGACTTTCTACCACTCCCGCCAATGCAGCCGCAATCTCTGTCGAGGTAAGAGAACGATTCTCAAGAAATGGTTCTGTCATAATATGAGTTAACTTTTAATAAGCTAAGTCAGGGGCGGATCTAGTATTTTCTCGTAGGGGGCGGATTTTCGAACATTTTCTTGACCTTTTTTTTAGGTCGACCAATATGATTTTCCGAGCTCTTCTAGAGCACTAAAAAGACCCTGTTTCGGCCAAGTTTTTTATGCCGCAGGCAAAACTTCGAGGAAAAAACAGGCCAAAAAATGCGTTTTTAGGCACTTATTGGAATTTTTTAACCAAAAAAATCGCGGTTTTTCGGCGCGCGCTCCCCCCTCAAAATTAGTATATTGAAAAATTTTAGGGTCCGTCAGTCGAAAATGGATATCTCAAAATAGTACAAAGTGGGGACAAATATCGACTTTTCACCTATCCGTGCATGACGGAATTTTTCATGCAATTTGAAACAAATGGATGCTCTGCCTCTGAGCTTAAGATTGAGAAAATATTTAAGCTGGGACCATTTTTCGTAAGGATATGGGGGTTGCGATTTGACAATTTTTGATAATTAATTCGCGCGAAATATTTTTCAATTTTTTTTATATGTCTGTCGGTTTAAGTTTCTTTCTATTTTCGCCTACGTCGTTTTTATAATGATATTATGACCCTAAGTAAAAACAGTCGAAATGCGAGCATATCATTGGTTGAAATGTATTTTACATGGTGCTTTTTCGGACCCTTTATCTCAAAGTCGGAGAGTCTGAAAAATGAACTGGAACCAATTCAATCTATCTGTCAATAGTTGATGTGTACTTTGTTCATCACCTAAAACTTCCCCTATATGTTTCTATTTTATTTACAAGATTCAATTCAGCTAGAAAAAAGTTCATTCGGGGCCTTGAAATAGGCGAAACATTTTTTAATGATTGTTTTGTCAATATGTACGCAATTTAAGAAAATTGTCTCCTCTTTTATTTTTAGAGCCATACAGGAGGAGCATTGCAATCTAAACCAGTGACGCTGGTGAAGCCCGCAATCATCTCATCCGCTCATCTTCAGCAGCAGCAGGCTAGTTGAACTATTTTCAGGCATCGGCCACATGATATCAACTTCAAATGTAGTACATTTCGCCGCTCCTTCAATTACCGTATATTTCACGCACCAAGTCATGCAATGAATGAGGGGAGAAATTTGTGTAGACTATCAATACCCTGACGTTTTTCAAAATATGGTCTAAACAAGTTCCCTAATTACGTAAAATTTTCAAGTCTTTCTATTTCAAATCAAAATATATCTGATTAATAGATTCTTGGGTGCAATGTCTTCGTTTAAATTTAACAGTGATAATACCAACAAACTAGATTCTTTTTCATTTTGTCGTTCATTACATCGATATCATGTTTTAATGTATTACATTTGGATAGCCCGAAAAAAAATTTGATATCGAATTTTGTTATGAAAAAAAGAAGAACAGAAAAAGAGCTCCAAATTATATGAGTCTGATTTGTTCTCTGCTTTGTCAGCTAACTGAGTCTTAGTGCTTTAGATCTCTCAGCCGATGATGACCAAAGTGGTGCCGAAAGTGGCAGTGTCCTCGTCTTCCGTGGGTGGTGCAGGAGGAGTTCTGGTGAAGCCGGCCCAGATTGTGACACTTGGTGGAAACAAACAGCCCATTACAGCCGGACAAATCAAAGTGAGTTGTTGTTCTATGTTTACCTATCGTGAAATGCCTCATGTCACAAGGACAAAATGCCTGAAAATTCAATCAAAGTTTACTATTTAAAAATCTCAAGGAACGAAGTTGGCAAATCTGCCAAAATTGACTTTTAAAAGGGAGCTTATTTGTTGAAAAGTTTGTTAATTGCAAAAGGGGCTTCAATCATTGGTTGGGCATACATGCAGTGGCAACAAAAGTTTTCCTCGTCTTATCAAAGTGCATCTTTTGTCATTACCAAAATCAAAATTCAAGCTTAAGTTTCACGTTCTGTAGCTCCCTTACAGTTATGGTTACAAATAAAGAGGCTGTGTGATGTCAAAACAGTCCAATATATGAAATTAGGGAGACATTATTAATCAGTTAGTATATGCAAGTTAATGACAAGTTTTTGGAAGAGTCAATGAACGTAGTGAAGACTTATATAGGTCGTGATGATTTTTTTCACGAATGTCGCTGAATTTGTTCACGCTCAAGTTTGATTTTTCCTGGTTTGAATTCTGATTTTTTTTTAAGTTCACTTCATTTCCTTTGTTGAAAGGAAGGTAAATGTCACTATCGAACAGCAAAAACGTGAAAGTCACGAAAAGCGTTATCGACCTCTCGTTTCGAAAATGGAATTTAATTTTCAGATTTCGTTTTTGTTCCCAGCGAAATAAAACTTTTACCAATTGATCCAGTTCTCTCAAACTGGGTTAGTTTTAGCAAACAAGTGTCAATAATAAATGTTCCTGAATTTCAAAGAGTTTCAAGGCCATGTGTTTTTTCTTAGGAGTTCGAACGTTTTTTGTTTAATTGCTTAGAAATCATGTTATGAATGTAATTTGGCATCAAAAGGTAAATTGAATGTAGGCACGCGGCTCCCTCCCCCCTGGAACTGTGATCAAAGTGATCAAAAGTGGCGCGTCAGGAGTGACAACTGGCACTGCAGGTCCAACAGTGGTGCGGGCAGCCTCTGGACTCGCAGGTGCCGGCGGCTCAGCGCCCACCATCATTCGGGCTGTGAGACCCCTGAGTGGAGGCATACAGACTGGGGTCGCTGGAGTGGGCCAATTGGGAGCCAATCGAAGCCCAGTTGTCCTACAGTCAAATCAACAACCGCACCGCGTGAGTTACATGAAACTCGAAAGTTGAAAAATTGACGAAAATTTTGATCGTTTTTGTTCAGGAACACTTCAGCTGCGGTGGCTATTTTTACCCTTGTATTACGTGTCCTCAATTTTAAAACATGAGATGATTATATTCGAGGAATTTTGTGTGGCCATTATGTTTATTGTGACTCAATTAAAAAGGCTTCCGTTATCATTCGATTCGGATGAGATAAATGTTTGGTTGAAACTGCTGGTGATGTGTGTAGGTCGTTTTGGGAGGTGCTTCTTCCTCCGGCACTTCTCTGGCCTCGTCTTCCTCTGTTGCGAGCAGCAGTGTAGTGGGAAGTGGCTCTGCAAACATCATCCGGATCCCAGCAGGAGCCACAATTAACGTGGGGGGACCATCTCAGATCATGAATCCTCTGCCCTCCATGGATGACAACGGTTAGCAAATTATGTACAATTAGTTTCTCAGGATGCGTTACCTGAGAACATTTTGTTAGACGAGGCTTCCGTTATCATTCGATTCGGATGAGATATTCTGTTAGTGCTCTTGTATTGTCTAATTGCAATTTAACAGACAGTAGTGTCTGAAGAGCGAACCTCCGCCACGTATTTTTTTCAGATCAATCGCATATATATTTATAAGCCATTTCAATGAAAGTATAGTTAAGCTTGCGATAGGCAAACGTTACCAAACCGGAATATAGACTTTTTTCGGTTTAACCACTAATTTAACGGAATCACTTGAATCATTTTATCTTTGGCTTATATCAAATCAAAACTCAGGTGTAAATTCACGTATGTGGCGAAGAGGTAACGCACCTGTCTTCAAAGACAAAGGTCAATGGTTGGAATCCCGCCAGGACCTGTTTTTTTTTGTGGTGGAAAATTGTCCGCTGGTCAAAAAATCTTTGTCGGATTTCTGTTTGTCTGCTTTTTTTGTCGGCTTTGTTACCGCCGCGCCACATTTGCCTAAAGGTTGGGATTTTCTTAGTCTAATTACAAAAAACTTTTTAGTGTACTCCGGTTTCGGGCAAGTAATTGAGTTCCAACAATTTCGGCCTATTTTTTTTTTTGAGTTTGTTTCATGCTGTTCATTAAAAAATTTTGGGAGTTGATTTCTTATAATTTCAAGGAGTTTTCTGTGCATTTAGTGCAGTGATAACACCTATGCTATTTTTCGGGTTTACAACTTGTTTAACAGAATCTTTTGTATCTTGGTTCATCATGTATTCTAACTTCTAAGCATTCTCGAACAACTTAGCCTGGAGGTAACAAATATGCCTGGGACGGCAAAGGTCCTGGGTTCGAATCTGACTAGGACCTGTTTTTTTTTCAAACGGTAAATATTCTGTTTCAAATAAAATTGTCGGTCAATTATTTGTTTGCTATCTGTTGTCGGCTTAGTAGTCAAATCTTGAAATAGTTTTTAGCTGCGCGCATTTTTCTTTAATGTTGCTCGTAGTGTTTGATTTACTCCTACAATTTGTAATTTTACTTACCTTGACTTCGTATTTCCTTGTTTGTTTGTTTTTGTTTCGCTTAAAAACATTCCTCGGCCCAAATCATTCATTTCAGCCTATTTTTTATCGGCATAATGACCTAATTTTGGGTAAGGAAGAAATAATTTCCAAATTCATTTGAAAAATTTTAGTTTTTCTTAGAAACTTCTACTGTTTTCAAAAAAAGGTATTAATTGAAAAACAGCCTACTCTAACTGTGTGCCTGTATACTCCCCTTGAGTTTCTTTTTTCTTTACTTTCAAATAAGTCTGTGGGGGAATATTTGACCGCTATTTTGATTCGTTTTCTCAAAAAATACGCTCTCAAATCTGAGTTTTTAGCTTCAATGAGTAGAACGGTTTCAAAAAGTTCCCTGCAATTTTTTTCCATATAATTTTACAAATAATTTTCTCGAAAAGTACCTTGCCATATTTGAGATTTTTTGGTTAAATTCAAAGAACGGGTTGTGGGAAGGTCATTTGCTTATGCGTCTACTCCCAAATTTTTCTGACACCAAAAGTTATGGCCCTCGGAAAAATCAAAATATCATCTCGAGAACTACCCTCCCAAATCTACGATTTTGGGTTCAATCTAAAATACAGGTTGAGTGAATTCCTTTTGTATAAGCGGCTACGACCTATTTTATCACTTAAAAAGCAATGATCTCGGAAATGTCAAATCTTTGATTAGTTGACCGTTTTTGGACTTTTCGCGCTAAATATCCTGCCAAAACTGATATCATAGGTATAATCTAAACAACAGGTTGTTGAAAACCAACATTTTAGCTGGTTTTGACCAGTTTGTTTGAGAAAAAGTTATGGCCTTCAAACAAGTCGAAGTTTTGAAACTTTAGCAGGTTTTTGCCAACTTTTTGACTACGCGAAAACTACCGTGCCAATTCTCAGGTTATTTTCAATCGAGTAACCCGGTTTTGGGAATCATCTCTGCTTCAGCGGCCACAACCTGCAATTTGGAGGAAAATGTCAGGGTTTTTGGAAATTCTTTTGACAGTTTAGAACTTCTGACCGTTTTATAGAAACTTTTTGAATTCTTAAAATTTACACAATCAAATCTGAGATGAAAGATTCATCTAAGAGAACTGGTTGCGATAATGGTTTCTGCAGAAGCGGCGGCTTCTTTATTTCTTATAAGAGAAATTTTATCTCCTTTCAAAAATTGATTATATCAAAACTTTTTTTCCTCTTCTCACTTATTTTAGTAGAGAAACAACTAAAGGTTTTGGGCCAATTTTTGAAAACACATGTGTCGTGCCGCATCAGTATAGCAAATTCATTCAATATAAAACACATACCTCCAGCTTTCGCTGGATGCCTGCTTGTTTTCGATCTAAACATACGAAAATTTTGGTTCGCCTAGGTTTTTTCAACACTTAGAATTTTTTTTCGGTTTGTGTTTTTTTTGTGTTTGTGTTGTATCGCAAGTGTTCCGAAGCTCGGCTTCGCCTCTGTCTAGACTTTCGTGTCTGTTAGTTTTTGTCAGTTTGGGTCCCGCAGAAAGGCTCGGCTTCGTTTTAACACTTTGAAAGCTCTTTGTAAAGTTTCTAATTGTGCAGGTAATTTTGTTTCAGGCATTTTATCCTGTTAGGCATTTTTTTTTTACTTTTTTGAAGGATGCGATATTTGAAGGTTTTTTTTTCAATTTTTGATTTGTCTTTTTAGTTGCTGATAATCATAGTCATACATTTTTGTATCGCAAGTGATGCGAAGCTCCGCTTCGCATGTGTTAAAATGACATAATCAATTTAAAGTTAGATTTTACGCTAGAAATGAGACTCGGAAAGAACTGAAAACGGGACCGGAATAGGTTAAAGTGTTTTACTAGGTCACGCTTCCTATACCCTGTCAGGAGAGTAAACAAAAAGTTTTTTTTCCAAGATTTTCTCTCTTTTCTCAATTCGCAATTGGGTTATCTCTTAAACTACGATGTATTGTAAAGTCCTACTTAAGCCACAGAATAGCAAAGAAATAAGACATACGAGTAGCTCAATTGAAGATAAATCAAAAAAGTTTTGTTTTTTAAGATTTTCTTTAATATCAAAATTGACCATATTTCTTAAACTACAAGGTTGGAAGCCGCGGAATGGAATTTTTGAACGACAAATAGTTTGCATTCCGTTATTGGTTCAAGCTTTTTGAATTTCAAGTTTTTAATAATTTTTGAGAGTGCGAATTTCTTTTAATTGGGAACTAGACGTTTCCCCCTAAACAATTTTTCTTACAAATATGTTAGAAATTGAATTTGCTTTATTATTGAAACTCGATAACTTCCAGTATCCTTCCTACTTGGTCTGCGGGTAATTCGGTTGCCTCGGCATTGTACGTTCTGGGGTTTGAGTCCCGCCGGACCTTGTTTTTTTCGGTATGCATCCATCTGATTTTTTTTTCGGGATAATTTGCTTTGTCCGCCTATTGGTTGTCTGCTTGTTTTGTCGGCTTACTTGCCACATTACGGATTGTTCTTTTGCTCTTGGCAACTTTTCCTGCGGCTGCAAGTATTGTTGATTTTAAATTTTACAAATTCTACAAAATTTACTAGCCCTGGCCTGTTTTTCACTTTAAAGTTTCATTCGGCCTACTTGGTTTCGACTTTGTTGAATTGGCTTAGTCAATTTAATTAATTCAGGTCGGTCTTGCGAAAGTTGAGAGTTTTGAATTTTAACTGCTCAACGTTTTTATGATGTTTTTTTTTTAGATTTTCGGCTCAACGGTCGTTTAATCTCTCATTTTTCGGTTTAAAAAAATCTTTAAAAAAATTAAATGTTTCCAACGGTTTTTGACTTAGTTGTTTCCGTCTCTGTTCGCTAGCTTGCAATGCTTTGATTGCGTTGTGTCGCACTGATGCGAAAGTCTGCTTGGTCTTTGTGTTTAAAAAAGTAGACAGTTGCTGAGTCAGTAGCACAGAATGTTCCGATCTCACTGAAAAAATCACAAAACGAAAAATCAAAAAAAAGTTAATTGTTTTAAAATGTTTTGCCTACATTTTCTGTTCAGCTCATATGTCAATGAACGTAGTAAAGACATTAATAGAGGTCGTTTTATTTCATCTTTAGAAAAAGACATGAAATGCTGCAATAAGTACCGAAAGAGTGAAGTGGCGTGAACAAGATTGTAATTGATTAAGTTGTCATTTAGCATCCTTTTCACACTATGCGATTATGTTTTATGCAAACAATTTTAAACAAACTCACTAAATGATTTTGCGGCTGTTCCGTGAGCTCTGTTCTATTGTCCACCAACAGGCTTATTTTGAGCATTATAAATATCCAATCTATTCGAAATTTGTTTTCTCTTACCTTTGCTATGAAACCAACAACTCCGATGATGTATAGTTATAGTTTTTTGCGTAAAAGGTTTATTAGACCTAAAGGGTTTCGGCTTTTAAAAAATGTATGTTTCGTTATATTTGTGTGATTCGAGGGGTACTCTAATTTTGAGTTTCAAACTGTTTCTACGCTGAAGTTTTTTCATGGCAGTTTTGTTCGGCTGAACAGGTGTTTGCCTAAGTATTATCGGTTTCGTATTTTTGTTTCAATGCTTATTATAGCTGGCAATTGAAATGTTTTAATGTGTGAAACTTTAAGTGCATCCATTTTTTTTCGACACTTTTGCAAACTAATTTTCCGATTTAGTCTAATTTTCTGTCGGATAGCTTGCCTTGATTAGAGTCGATGAACGTAGTTCATTGACTCTTAATCTTCCTTTGACTTTTGAAAGCTGAGATTTCAAAAAATAAGTCAGTATTTTTTGTTTATCGGTTTTTTTGGAATTGTGAAAGTTGATATTTCAAAAATTAAGTCAGTATTTTTGTTTACTTGCTCTTCCAACTGCCTGTTGGCTATGTTATATTTGTTCTGTATCGCAAAAAATTCGACATGAAATTGAGATAAAATGCGGCTATTTCTGTTTGCGATTATTTATCAATATCATATTATATCAATTTCTGATTTTTTATCGATTAGAATGCATGGCTGCAAGAATTGGATGGAAAACCTATTTTTTTCAACATGCGGCATTTTCAATAATATATTTTTTTCGACGCTTTCGTGTGTGTACCTTGACTTATTATCTAACGAAACTTCGTTGCGAACGCATTTTAAATTGTAAAGATCCACTCCTGAAGGTAGGGACTGCGATTCTTAGTTACGAAAGAGACTGGCCCTTTTGTGGGGAGGGTATGGTTGTGCCATTTGCGGCTGTATACACACAGCGTCGCGTTCACCACTTGAGGGCGGGACTTCTATACTCCTTGATTTTCACCCTTAACCGGCGCCGCTCAAAAGCAAATCCACATATCGGGTTAGGAAATTGAGATCCGGATACAGCCCCTTCCTCAATATGTACCTGAACCGTATTGACCCGCAACGTCCCCTCAAATTGCCACCTTTGTGTTTCTATGATACCGCTCTCCGCATTTTTAACTGTTCCCAGAACACCACTTTTTAAACCCCAATAGACTTGTAGCATCGTCCGACCGAAATTTCTGGGGCTTGGTTTGAGCATGCCAGAATCGCCCCCTCAAGGCTAAAAACAACAACAACAATTTCATTTATCAGTGAAATTTTTAACCATTTAGTTAAATGCTCTTAAACATTTGCGAATCTTGGTTGAAAATTGCGGTCTCAAATCCTTGAAGTTTTCGAGATATCGCGGTTTTTTATAACTTTTCAAGAAATTCTGGATACTTAAAATTTGAAAGTTTTTTTTATTGATGTGAAATTTTTGACCGTTTGGTATAATGCTGTTAGACAATTGCACTAGGCTTGCAAATCACGGATGAAAACTTGTTATCTCAAATCCTTGTAGTTTTCGCGAAAATTTTAATAATAACTAAAATAGTTTCGATAACTGATAATATACAAAAAAATTTCATGGAAATGCTTAATGGGTAGACTCTAATTGGGCAATCTCTGCCCTTTGTCTATATACTCCAAAGTCTGGTGCTCATAATGTTGGCATAAGTTTTTTAATTTCTAGTAAATGTATATTTGTTGTATGCTGGTGTTGTTTGTTGTAACTTATGGAGAAATAAATTCTTCTTCTTCATTGAACGGAATGTTTCTGCTTGAAACGAATTGTTTTTATTGTCAAATAGTTAAATGTAAGTGCTGACAAATCTAGTTTAGTGCTGACAATGTTTAGTGCTGACAAATCTAGATGAAGAAATGCCCCCTGAGAACCCGATGACAGAACATATCCCAACTTCTCATCATCAGCAGCAAAAACAGTTCAAAACAGGTCACCAAGAATTGTCCATTTTCTTAAAATTTATGGACCATTTTTTCAATAACTGAAATAAAGTGATCTCATTAGATTTTACAATGCTGTTCTTCGTCATAATTAAGTGTTTTAAATTGTAGGCGCAGTTGCTCCACTTTCGCCTGATTTCCATGCGGACGGGGGAGGTTTCGAAGAAGGTGAAGGAGATGAACAAGGGGGAAGTAGAGATGAGCCCGATATTGGGGGTGCTCCCGAAGTGAACCAGGGTGCCGAGGAGACGGGCGAAGTGACTCCTGTGGAGAGTGCAGTGGAAGCAGCAGCTCCGGAAAACCAGCTGGGCGCCGATGTTCCTGTAACAAGCGAACAACTCGATGGCTCGCCAGTGAAGAGCGAACAAGACGCATCGCATGTCTCGCAAGGGGTTGAGTCAGATTTGAAAACGGAAGAGAATCTAGGTGGCGACGGGGATGTAAAAGAGGAAAAACCCGTGTTAGGAACTGAAGCAACTTCCATTCACGCAACGCAAGTATCGCCCAGTAAAATGGAACATACAGATTCTAAGGAAGAAGAACAAAAGGATTTTTTGGATCAATTTGGAAGTGCTTCTGGTTTCCAGCCTGCAGTATCATCTGACATCTTAGACCAATTTGAGAACAAACTGGAGATCCCCAAGAAAGAAGATAACGTTGATGAGAAACGAGAGGCTGAGGGTGATATATTAGACCAGTCAGAGTTCATGGAGTTAGGAACAACGTCTAATCAGGCAGATGAACTAAAGAATGAACTGGACCAGCAACCAGATAACCGACAACAACAAGACCTTAATGAAGATTACAAAGAAGAAAACTCCAATGGTATTGGTGACATGTTTGAAACTAACCCTGAATCATCAAGATTAGTTCAGTTTAGGTCTCAAATTAACGACGATGTGACGTCATCGGCAGTCCAGGAAGGAGTTGAACAGTTTCTGCTGCCGACGGGCGAGGTTGGAATGAAAACATGTTTTATATCTAATTGTCTGTCAATAATCATTCTGATTTCTTGCAGAAATCATTACTCAAAATGTTGAGATTGAATATGATTTGTTTTGTTGAGTCCTTACTCATTGTGTTTAAGAGTAATGAACGTAGTGAAGGATCTTATATAGGTCTTGCTGATTTTTTTGTTTACTTTTTTTTCAGGAAAAAGTCTTTACACAAGCATAGCTTGTGTTATAGTATGAACTTTCTTTTTTTTCAACCTAAATCGCAAATATTGTTGCGACAAAATGTTCATTTTGATCCAGCTATTAAGTACAGCCAATGCTACAGATATTAACACTGGCTGTTATATTACAAATAGCACTTAAGCTTCAAAGTATCATGGATCTGTAGCGTAGAGGTAAGGAAGGAGACCAGCAACATAATAAGAGGGTTCGAACCTGGGCAGGGGCGAATGTTTTTAACGAACTTTTTCGTATACTAGTTAAAATGCGTCCGCTCTATAAGGCATGTTAGTTGGTAGATTTTTTTTTTCAAATTGACTAGTACTGCTAATGCGTCATAATTGGCGTGCGTCACTTAAGAAATTTTGTACAGTCGAAGTTTTACTCATTCAGTTTTTCCCAGTAGCGTTATCGGTCATATTTTTGCTTGTGTATGCGAAGTGCAACTTCGCCTCTGTGTAAAATTTGCTCTCGCTCAATTTTGATTTTTCGCTTTTTCTCGTGGGATTTCTTTTTAAGTTCAGTGCATTTCCATTGTTAAAAGTAAGGCAAACTCCAGCATTGAACAGCAAAAGTGTAAAGGTCACGAAAAACGTGATCGACTTCTGACTTCGAAAATGGAAATATATTATCAGATTTCACAGCGAAATAAAAGTTTTACGCATTGATCCAGTTTTCCCAAATTGGGTTAAATATATTATCAGATTTCACAGCGAAATAAAAGTTTTACGCATTGATCCAGTTTTCCCAAATTGGGTTAATTGTAACAAAAAAGTGTCCACCAAAAATTGTTCTGCAAATTCAAAGAGCTTTAGGGCCATCTATTTTTTCTTCGAAATTCAAAAGTTGAAGGCTCTTGAAAAAACACGTCAGTTTCCTTGCGTTCATTACTCTTTTCCAACTGTTAGTTGGCTATGTTTTAAGTGCTATTGATAGAAGTGGTTCATTACTTATTTAGCTTTCTCTACTTGTTGTACGATACTTGATTTCGTAGGACTAACAACTTTCCTTCCATTTAGGGAAGCAGCAGTGGTCATTTGAAAAGAAGTGAAAATGAGGCGATGGACGAGGTGGTCTCGGTCCCTATTGTGTCCAGTCATTCTCACCAGGAGCAAGACACGATGGACGCAGCAGCGTTGGCAGAGTTTCAGCATTCAATGGTAAATGAAGAGTAGAGTACCTTTTTAAAAACGACTAGACGATTAAAAATAATTTCATTTTCCAACTATCTATAATGGCTAACTCCCTCTATAATGAGATATGTTTTTGAAATAAAACAAAAAAAAGGTAATCCTAGTCTAGTAGATGCGAAGTTTTTGATTCCTCTCCCGTATCAGCAACAGTGGTACCCGTTTACCGGCTTATTACGTACTTTTTAAAACATGCTATGTTAAGCATACTACGAGTCCATAACAGGAGAATATTGTCAAGGAAGCAGCAATAGAAGAAGTACAAATTAAGACCTGGCTGATAATTTGAGATGGTTTAAAATTTTTAATATGCGTGTTATCTGATTTTTTTTTAAAATGTCGGGATGATTTTTACGGTTTAGGTGCAATATGCGAAGAGCATGGATGACTCAGAGGCAGCCAGTGCTTTGGCCAATTTGGCCAACGTTTCTTCACATCATCACCACCACTTGGTAACAACTGCACCCCCTTCGTCCACCTCCAGTGGTAGGGTGGGGGATCCCGAGAGTGCACTGCTGCAGGAAGCACTCAACTTCATTGACCAATCATCTGCAGCGCCCCCCTCCCTTCCCCACACACTTAACCCCACAGTGGTGGGCTCTAATATGAACAGTGCAGTACACCCACAGAGTCTTCCGACTGTGTCGGCAGGTCCTATCGCTCATTACCAACATCAAAATGTAAGTGAAAATCAATTGATTAATGATCATTGTAACTTGTATAATTTGCTAAAAAAATCGCCTTTTTATCTCGTTTTGACATTTTTGAAACGTTATTTGTTTTTCCGATCTTAAAAGTTATGTCGTACGGAGATTATTGTTTTCTTTGCTATTAGTTTTGCGAAGGTTTAGTGTTTCCATTGAAGAATTCTTCGGTTTACTTAAATTATTTGCTTATAATTTGTATTTTTATTTTGACTCTTATCAGACTCTTGAAGGAGACATTTCGAATGGAACTACCCGCGTGAACAGCACCATGGCTACCCGTGTTTCCAACTCACAACTAGGAACCAATTACAACTCATCTCTGGTATCTTCATCCTTCTCATCAAATTCTGGACCAGTAGCTCATCCGGTGCCAACGGACCTCTTGATGGCATCTGCTGCTCCTAACTCCTCAGGAATTGTAACAGGGTTGGTATCTGCCGCTGCTATTCAGCAGGGTGTGGTGCCTCTGCATCAGAAGAGGGACCCCAACTGGATGGACGTGGGAATCATCAAGGGCACTACTACTGTTGTCACTCATTATCTCCTACCACAGGCGGGACTAGGCTCAGGAGGACACAACAGCCACTCGCCTCATGTCGATGTAAGAGTGTTGCGTTGCTTTTACTTCAAAGATACAGTTGATCGCCTAATATTTGCAGAATGCTAATTCGTTGTTACAATTGTCTTGTGATCGGGAACTACAGTTTTTTCCTGTAAAAAATTTTCTTACATTTGGTCGAGATGTAACGTGGTATGATAAGGTCAGTATGTATGAAAGTGAAAAAAAAATTCAGGAAAATTGAAAGGTCGGCCTTTCGTTTGTCTGCTTATGTTTTGTCGGCTTAGTTGCCGCATATAGATTTTTCTGGTGCTGTAAGCAATATTCATTGTAATTGCTGGCTGCTGATTTACGAAGTGTTGTTGGTTTACTCCTATTGGTTAGCTGTCCAAATAGCCCTGACTGAGCATTTTTTTCCCGCTTAAATAGCTTTATTCTATCTAACTGAGTTTCAAGTTGTGTTTTATCGGATTATTCAGCTTTTTTTTTGGTCTTTTGAAGGCAACAATTTAATTCAGGTTGGTTGTTGTCTGAAGTTTATTAAAGTTTTAAAACTTAATCGCTAAAACAATTGTGGCGACAATTTCTTTTGGAATTTTTTGTTTTTGGCTCAATTGACCTCTGCCCACGTATTTTCTGCTTAATGACCGCTCGGTAAATTTTTAAACCTGGTTTAATATTGGTGTTTCTTAGTCGAATGTTTTGCTGCAATAGTTTTCCAAGTTAAGTTCATTTTCTTTGGGTAGGGAGGCAAACTTAACTATCGAGCAGCGAAAGAGTAAGATCACAATAAACGTGATCGACTACTAGTTTTCCAAGTGGACTTTAATTTTATATGTTTCCCAGCGAAATTAAAAGAATATCTAATGACCCAGTTTTCTCATATTGGGTTAGTTTTAGCAAAGTGGGAATAATGAATTGTTGTTGAAATTCAAAGAGCTATAACGGTTGATTTTTTTCTTCGAAAGTCGAAAGTTTCTACAATAGCGATCAGCGTAGTGTATTAGCACGAACCTTCTTTTATCATTAGCCTAACTCGCAAATAACAGTGTTCATTAAAAGTAGAAAGTGTTCACTTGTTTGGCGCTAATTTTGCTATAATCACGATCTAGCATTGGAAACTTCATTGCATCTGTTCTGTGATTTATTTGTGGCTAGTTTTTGTGACGTAATAAGCGTGTGGTTAGTGCGTTAGAATCGTAATCTCCAGGTCGGAGGAGGTCGCAGATCGAATCCAAGTCCTAGCCGAATTTTTACTAATTCGAGGCTTATTTCTAGTTTTATTGCACTTTATAGAGCTATTTTTGTCTACTGTTTGCGAAGTGAAGCTTCGCCTCTGTGTAAAAAAGTGTGAATAAAGAAATAATCAAAAAAAATGCGAATAATAAATTGTTCGTGGAATTCGATAAACTTCTTTTTTTGCTTTAAAATTCGAGTTTAAAAAAAGTAGTGTCTGTTGGCTATTTTTACACCAGCGTCAGCCTAGTGTATTGTTACGAGCCTTTTTTTCTAACCTTACTCGCAAATAAAGTGTTCATTAAAAGTGTTCTTTTATTTGAAAAATTCAATATAGCATTGGAAATTGCATAGCATCTGTTGTTTGCTTTATTTGTGACAAGTTTTTGGCTAATGCCTTTTAAACTTCCGTGCTGAGTGGTCTAGGCGAACTAATCCCTAGGTCGCACGTTCAAATCTCAGACGTAGCCGAATTTTTGCTATTTCGTGGCTGATTTCTAGTTTTATTGCACTTCATAGAGTTACTTTTTGTCTAGTGTTTGCGAAGTGAAGCTTCGCCTCTGTGTAAAAAAGTGTGAATAAAGAAATAATCAAAAAAAATGCGAATAATAAATTGTTCGTGGAATTCGATAAACTTCTTTTTTTGCTTTAAAATTCGAGTTTAAAAAAAGTAGTGTCTGTTGGCTATTTTTACACCAGCGTCAGCCTAGTGTATTGTTACGAGCCTTTTTTTCTAACCTTACTCGAAAATAAAGTGTTCATTAAAAGTGTTCTTTTATTTGAAAATTTCAATGTAGCATTGGAAATTGCATAGCATCTGTTGTTTGCTTTATTTGTGAGAAGTTTTTGGCTAATGCTTTTTAAGCTTCCGTGGCTGAGTGGTCTAGGCGAACTAATCTTTAGGTCGCATGTTCAAATCTCATACGTACCCGAATTTTTTTGCTAATTCGAGGCTTATTTCTAGTTTTTTTTTGCACTTTATAGAGCTACTTTTTGTCTAGTGTTTGCGAAGTGAAGCTTCGCCTCGTTGTAAAAAAAGTGTGAATAAAGAAATAATAAAAAAAAAATGCGAATGATAAATTGTTCGTGGAATTCGATAAACTTCTTTTTTTGCTTTAAAATTCGAGTTTAAAAAATGTAGTGTCTGTTGGCTATGTTTACACAAGCGTCAGCTTAGTGTATTGTTACGAGCCTTTTTTTCTAACCTAACTCGCAAATAAAGGGTTCATTAAAAGTGTTCTTTTATCTGAAAATTTCAATGTAGCATTGGAAATTGCATAGCATCTGTTGTTTGCTTTATTTGTGAAAAGTTTTTGGCTAATGCTTTTTAAGCTTCCGTGGCTGAGTGGTCTAGGCGAACTAATATTTAGGTCGCACGTTCAAATCTCAGGCGTAGCCGAATTTTTTGCTAATTCGAGGCTTATTTCTAGTTTTATTGCACTTTATAGAGCTACTTTTTGTCTAGTGTTTGCGAAGTGAAGCTTCGACTCTTTCTAAAAAAGTGCGAATAAAGAAAAATTCAAAAAAATGCGAATGATAAATTGTTCTTGGAATTCGATAAACTTCTTTTTTTGCTTTAAAATTCGAGTTTAAAATAGTGTCTTTTGGCTATTTTTACACCAGCGTCAGCCTAGTGTATTGTTACGAGCATTTTTTTCTAACCTAACTCGCAAATAAATGTGTGCATTAAATGTGTTCTTAAATTTGAAAGTTTCAATGTAGCGTTGGAAATTCCATAGCATCTGTTTTTTGCTTTTTTGTGACAAGTTTTTGGCTATTGCCTTTTAAACTTCCGTGCTGAGTGGTCTAGGCGAACTAATCCCTAGGTCGCACGTTCAAATCTCAGACGTAGCCGAATTTTTGCTAATTCGTGGCTTATTTCTAGTATTATTGCACTTCATAGAGTTACTTTTTGTCTAGTGTTTGCGAAGTGAAGCTTCGCCTCTTTGTCAAAAAAGTGTGAATAAAGAAATAATAAAAAAAATGCGAATGATAAATTGTTCTTGGAATTCGATAAACTTATTTTTTTTTTGCTTTGAAATTCGAGTTTAAAAAATGTAGTGTCTGTTGGCTATTTCTACACAAGCGTCAGCCTAGTGTATTTATTGTTTCGAGCATTTTTTTCTAACCTAACTCGCAAATAAATGTGTGCATTAAAAGTGTTCTTAAATTTGAAAGTTTCAATGTAGCGTTGGAAATTCCATAGCATCTGTTTTTTGCTTTTTTGTGACAAGTTTTTGGCTATTGCCTTTTAATCTTCCGTGCTGAGTGGTCTAGGCGAACTAATCCCTAGGTCGCACGTTAAAATCTCAGACGTAGCCCAATTTTTGCTAATTGGTGGCTCATTTCTAGTTTTATTGCACTTCATAGAGTTACTTTTTGTCTAGTGTTTGCGAAGTGAAGCTTCGCCTCTTTGTCAAAAAAGTGTGAATAAAGAAAAATTTTAAAAAATGCGAATGATAAACTGTTCTTGGAATTCGATAAACTTCTTTTTTTGCTTTAAAATTCGAGTTTAAAAAATGTAGTGTCTTTTGGCTATTTTTACACAAGCGTCAGCCTAGTGTATTGTTACGAGCATTTTTTTCTAAACTAACTCGCAAATAAATGTGTGCATCAAAAAGTGCTCTTAAATTTGAAAATTTCAATGTAGCGTTGGAAATTCCATAGCATCTGTTTTTTGCTTTTTTGTGACAAGTTTTTGGCTATTGCCTTTTAAACTTCCGTGCTGAGTGGTCTAGGCGAACTAATCCCTAGGTCGCACGTTCAAATCTCAGACGTAGCCGAATTTTTGCTAATTCGTGGCTGATTTCTAGTTTTATTGCACTTCATAGAGTTACTTTTTGTCTAGTGTTTGCGAAGTGAAGCTTCGCCTCTTTGTCAAAAAAGTGTGAATAAAGAAATAATCAAAAAAATGCGAATGATAAATTGTTCTTGGAATTCGATAAATTTATTTTTTTTGCTTTGAAATTCGAGTTTAAAAAATGTAGTGTCTTTTGGCTATTTTTACACAAGCGTCAGCCTAGTGTATTGTTACGAGCCTTTTTTTCTAACGTAACTCGCAAGTAAATGTGTGCATTAAAAGTGTTCTTAAATTTGAAAATTTCAATGTAGCGTTGGAAATTCCATAGCATCTGTTTTTTGCTTTTTTGTGACAAGTTTTTGGCTATTGCCTTTTAAACTTCCGTGCTGAGTGGTGTAGGCGAACTAATCCCTAGGTCGCACGTTCAAATCTCAGACGTAGCCGAATTTTTGCTAATTCGTGGCTTATTTCTAGTTTTATTGCACTTCATAGAGTTACTTTTTGTCTAGTGTTTGCGAAGTGAAGCTTCGCCTCTTTGTCAAAAAAGTGTGAATAAAGAAATAATAAAAAAATGCGAATGATAAATTGTTCTTGGAATTCGATAAACTTATTTTTTTTTGCTTTGAAATTCGAGTTTAAAAAATGTAGTGTCTGTTGGCTACTTTTACACAAGCGTCAGCCTAATGTATTTATTGTTACGAGCATTTTTTTCTAACCTAACTCGCAAATAAATGTGTGCATTAAAAGTGTTCTTAAATTTGAAAATTTCAATGTAGCGTTGGAAATTCCATAGCATCTGTTTTTTGCTTTTTTGTGACAAGTTTTTGGCTATTGCCTTTTAATCTTCCGTGCTGAGTGGTCTAGGCGAACTAATCCCTAGGTCGCACGTTAAAATCTCAGACGTAGCCCAATTTTTGCTAATTCGTGGCTTATTTCTAGTTTTATTGCACTTCATAGAGTTACTTTTTGTCTAGTGTTTGCGAAGTGAAGCTTCGCCTCTTTGTCAAAAAAGTGTGAATAAAGAAATAATCAAAAAAATGCGAATGATAAATTGTTCTTGGAATTCGATAAACTTCTTTTTTTGCTTTAAAATTCGAGTTTAAAAAATGTAGTGTCTGTTGGCTATTTTTACACAAGCGTTAGCCTAGTGTATTGTTACGAGCATTTTTTTCTAACCTAACTCGCAAATAAATGTGTGCATTAAAAGTGTTCTTAAATTTGAAAATTTCAATGTAGCGTTGGAAATTCCATAGCATCTGTTTTTTGCTTTTTTGTGACAAGTTTTTGGCTATTGCCTTTTAAACTTCCGTGCTGAGTGGTGTAGGCGAACTAATCCCTAGGTCGCACGTTCAAATCTCAGACGTAGCCGAATTTTTGCTAATTCGTGGCTTATTTCTAGTTTTATTGCACTTCATAGAGTTACTTTTTGTCTAGTGTTTGCGAAGTGAAGCTTCGCCTCTTTGTCAAAAAAGTGTGAATAAAGAAATAATAAAAAAATGCGAAAGATAAATTGTTCTTGGAATTCGATAAACTTATTTTTTTTTGCTTTGAAATTCGAGTTTAAAAAATGTAGTGTCTGTTGGCTATTTTTACACAAGCGTCAGCCTAGTGTATTTATTGTTACGAGCATTTTTTTCTAACCTAACTCGCAAATAAATGTGTGCATTAAAAGTGTTCTTAAATTTGAAAATTTCAATGTAGCGTTGGAAATTCCATAGCATCTGTTTTTTGCTTTTTTGTGACAAGTTTTTGGCTATTGCCTTTTAATCTTCCGTGCTGAGTGGTCTAGGCGAACTAATCCCTAGGTCGCACGTTAAAATCTCAGACGTAGCCCAATTTTTGCTAATTCGTGGCTTATTTCTAGTTTTATTGCACTTCATAGAGTTACTTTTTGTCTAGTGTTTGCGAAGTGAAGCTTCGCCTCTTTGTCAAAAAAGTGTGAATAAAGAAATAATCAAAAAAATGCGAATGATAAATTGTTCTTGGAATTCGATAAACTTCTTTTTTTGCTTTAAAATTCGAGTTTAAAAAATGTAGTGTCTGTTGGCTATTTTTACACAAGCGTTAGCCTAGTGTATTGTTACGAGCATTTTTTTCTAACCTAACTCGCAAATAAATGTGTGCATTAAAAGTGTTCTTAAATTTGAAAATTTCAATGTAGCGTTGGAAATTCCATAGCATCTGTTTTTTGCTTTTTTGTGACAAGTTTTTGGCTATTGCCTTTTAAACTTCCGTGCTGAGTGGTCTAGGCGAACTAATCCCTGGTCGCACGTTCAAATCTCAGACGTAGCCGAATTTTTGCTAATTCGTGGCTTATTTCTAGTTTTATTGCACTTCATAGAGTTACTTTTTGTCTAGTGTTTGCGAAGTGAAGCTTCGCTTCTTTGTCAAAAAAGTGTGAATAAAGAAATAATCAAAAAAATGCGAATGATAAATTGTTCTTGGAATTCGATAAACTTCTTTTTTTGCTTTAAAATTCGAGTTGAAAAAATGCAGTTCTGTTGGCTATTTTTACACAAGCGTCAGCCTAGTGTATTGTTACGAGCATTTTTTTCTAAACTAACTCGCAAATAAATGTGTGCATTAAAAGTGTTCTTAAATTTGAAAATTTCAATGTAGCGTTGGAAATTCCATAGCATCTGTTTTTTGCTTTTTTGTGACAAGTTTTTGGCTATTGCCTTTTAAACTTCCGTGCTGAGTGGTCTAGGCGAACTAATCCCTAGGTCGCACGTTCAAATCTCAGACGTAGCCGAATTTTTGCTAATTCGTGGCTGATTTCTAGTTTTATTGCACTTCATAGAGTTACTTTTTGTCTAGTGTTTGCGAAGTGAAGCTTCGCCTCTTTGTCAAAAAAGTGTGAATAAAGAAATAATCAAAAAAATGCGAATGATAAATTGTTCTTGGAATTCGATAAATTTATTTTTTTTGCTTTGAAATTCGAGTTTAAAAAATGTAGTGTCTGTTGGCTATTTTTACACCAGCGTCAGCCTAGTGTATTGTTACGAGCCTTTTTTTCTAACCTTACTCGCAAATAAAGTGTTCATTAAAAGTGTTCTTTTATTTAAAAATTTCAATATAGCGTTGGAAATTGCATAGCATCTGTTGTTTGCTTTATTTGTGACAAGTTTTTGGCTAATGCTTTTTAAGCTTCCGTGGCTGAGTGGTCTAGGCGAACTAATCTCTAGGTCGCACGTTCAAATCTCAGACGTAGCCGAATTTTTTGCTAATTCGAGGCTTATTTCTAGTTTTTCTTATTGCACTTTATAGAGCTGCTTTTTTATCGTGTTCTCAATAATGTTTGCGAAGCCAAGCTTCGCCCCTGTGTTTATTATGTAGCGCAGTGGTTAATTCCCGGCATCTGAAGTTTTTGTCCCTCGTTCAGGTTTTCGAAATGATCTCTTATACAGTATTTAAAGTGTGTTTTAGTGGTTTGTTTGTTTTTTTTCGGTGTATAGATGTGACGTCCAGAGAAATTTTTCTTCTGTGTGACTTTTTGCCGTTCATTAGTTGGCTTTTTTTCTGAATCGGTATGTTCGAAATAGTAATTGAGTTTTTTGAAACTGTCTATCGTTTTGACTGAGTCAAAATAGAAATAAGTTTTATTGCATCCAGGACGAGATGGGACTGGATGTGAGCAACTGTGTGCAGGTGGATCTGCAGCCAGGCACTGCCTACAAACTGAGAGTGGCAGGCATTAATGCATGTGGCAGGGGCGCATTCAGCGAGGTGGCAGCATTCAAAACATGCGTACCTGGTTTCCCCGGCGCCCCATCTTCCATCAAAATAAGCAAGGTTTGTTAACAAACGCAATGCAATTCCTAATTAACGATACCGTGAGCATCCGCAACCAAGGAAAATAAATTTAAAATGGAACGTTGTGTTGACAATTGAAGCAGTTATTGTTGATCCATAAGAATTTGAAACTATGATTTCTTCTGAATAATGGGGTTTTAGAGTTCATCATTTATCAATTCTTTGGCATTTGTCAATGTCCATATTTTTCAAAAAAACTAAACAATTTGCACTGCTTTCATTTTTAAAGAATTTCAAGTGAACGTTATATTTTCTAGTGATTATTCAAATCTTGATCTTGTTGAAAATAGGCTTCTCAAAATGTAAGTTAGTTTTAATTTGGTTCGTTTCAGAGCCCCGAAGGAGCTAACTTAAGCTGGGAGCCCCCTCAAAACACGGCCGGCAAAATCGTCGAGTACTCTGTCTACCTCGCAGTGCGAAACAGTGGCACCACTCCTGGATCTGCCGACCAGTCGAGAGGAGGGGCTGGATCAGGAACCGGCCAGCAGATGGCCTTCATAAGAGTATATTGTGGGGCTGCTCCTGCGTGTACAGTGCACAACTCACACCTGGTTTCAGCCCACATAGACTACAGCACCAAGCCATCTATCATCTTCAGAATAGCAGCAAGAAACGAAAAAGGGTAAGTTTCCATTTTACTCTCGACATTTGGTTGGCGGTTTGACCTAGGAGAACTGCACTCATTGTCTCTTCGCCATTTTGAACATTGAAAAAGAAACATCGGCAAAAAAGCTAACGGGACTATGTTTCTTTTTCAATGTTCAAATCTGGCAAAGAGACAATGAGTGATGTAAAATTGTATGCAATCTTATGTTGACTGCGAAATTCACGCAAATGCGCACACGTTCTCACTCAGGTCTGGTGCACAGTTTTTCCAAATAGTTGTTTATTTGGAGTCACCTAGTAACATGTGATTTGACCGTAAAAGTGTGATAGAGGGGTCCCAAGAAACTAACCGGGTCCCTTATGTTTAAAAAAAAATTGACTAAAAACTGTTCAGTTTTTTTGCTTTGGTAATATCAACTAAAGTCTGGAATAAGTTAGCGCAAATGAGGTAGGTTAATTACGCTTGAGAAAAAGTCTTGAAACGACCGACCGGCGCATATTGATTAAGTTAATTACTGTGTTTGCTTGAAATTAATTTGATTTGGGACCCCTCTCTCACATTTGGTTTTTAGCCAGACGCAGACCCCTCATCACGTTTGTACCGCTTAGACATTTGATTGGTAACAAGTTATTACAGCTGATGCTTTTTTACTTCATCAATTGAACCGGAAAAAGAAATTTATTTCATACAAAATAATGATAATTAAAATCCCATTTCAGAAATTTTCCAACTCAATATATATCTCTAATTTTTGAAATGCATAATTTATGTTCTAATTTATTACATGCAAATTTTGATTTTTTTTGTGCATCCGAATGGGGCAGTACATTAGTGCCGACAAATATTTTGAATACTGTTTTTACTCATCGCAAATCTCAGAAAACATAATTAGTTCAAATCGACGGAAGTTGAGAAGTCGAAAACGGCCATTTTAACTGATGCCGCTTGTCAAACAAACAAAATTTTGTCAAACAAACAAAATTTTGTCAAACAAACAAAACACGAATTGAATAATTTATTCAGGAAGTGTTTGTCATAATATACATGCAAAACAAAAACGGATCGTTTAATCGGAGAAATTTTTCAATTGAATAAGTTATAATGAACATAGTGCAGAATAATACATTACCAAAACTGAAAATAAAAATTTATCATCATAATATAACTAAATAGGCTCTGTTTTCAAAGTTTTCAATAAATTAAGCCCATATTGGTCCAGTATGTTTCCAGATTGATGACTCCCAGTTGATAAAGATAATTCAGTCGGTCATTTTTTGCATTTAATTGTTTCCACTTGATTTTTTTATCCGGTTTTGGCTCACTCTGTTCCAATCGACGAAAAGAACATCGAGATGATTTTTCTTGAGATTTTAGGTTTTAAATTACGGTCCACAAGGATGGTATGACTCTGCCAATTTGCCGATTCCAGGTTGAATGCCAAGTTTCGCATGTATTCGTAGTTCGGAGATCGTTTGGGCGGTCAAAAACGTTCCAAAATTCAACTCCAACTTTGTTTATCTGGTTTAAGTTCTCTTATGCTTTTCAGTACTGCGGAAAGCTGCTTTTTTTCTTCTTTTTACTAAAAATACGCGTTTTTTTTTTGAGTTTTTTTTCATTTTTAGGCGGCAGATGAATTGTTAATGAATTTTCTCTGATTATTTTATCGTAAAGTTTTTGAGAGATTGTGTTGAATCTCTTTCAATAGCCTCGTACAGTTGTTGGTGGAATTTTTCGTTTGCAATTTTTTCCCATTGTGGTTCATGGTTGTGACTGTTTTCGTCATAAAGAATGTGGGTAACATTTACATTGGTAGAAAGACGAAAAGAACATTTTTTCTGAGCAACAAAGTATATATTTTTGAATTTTTGCTATAGCGTTTGAAAAGTCATTAAATACTAAGTTTGTTCCTTTTCCACGCTTAATTAATTCAAAGTTTCTCATGTCTTATAATGTGAAAATTTCAAGTTTTAGCTGATATTATTATCTCAAATCTGATTGGCTGAAAATCGGTCAAAGCTACTTGCCAGATTTTTCATTTAAGTTTGTGTATATGTATGTATGTATGTATATGCTTAAGTTACGTTCCCCGCAAAGGTGAGCAAGCAATCTCAATTCTAATTGCGATAATAGCCGCATGCTAAGCGACACGCTTTCAAGTAGGCCGCTCCCCGTGTTAATGTTTTTACGGCTATTTATGTATGTCTAGCTATGGTCCTGCAACACAAGTGAGGTGGCTGCAAGATGCCTCCAGGGACTCCCTCATGGCCCCTTCTTCCTCTTCGCCCCACAAGCGCCCAGTTGGACAACCCCTCGTCGCGCCCCAATCACACTCGCCAGCTGACATGAATCCGTGAGTATCAATCTACTCTGAGGTCTTGAATAAGACTCCCTCTCCCGTACTTTTTTTACTGCAACACTTTACACAGAGGTCAAAAAACGACCCTCTTTTTCCTCATCAAGAGGCGTCTTTTTTGCAGGGCATTTTGGATCACCACCCTCTACCCTGGATTTTGGCAGTTGATGCCAGTGAAAATTTTTCATCATAATGGACGGCAACCAATTATTAAGAATAACGTTCTATGGTGGGAAAGAAAATTTCTAAATCGCTACCAAGTCGTAGCAATTAGTCTGTTTTTCGAAAAGCAGGTAATTGTGTCTTTCAAGGTTGAAACGTAATCTTAATTAATTATAATACTGAGTTTTCTAACTTATTTAGATATGCTGATCAAAAAATCAAGAGAGGAAAATTCGACAAGAGTTGATTGAAGTCATTTCAAGTTGAAAACAAATATAGTTCTTAATCAAACTTATTCTTAAGTGTATTTTTCAATGCTTTCCTTTTGTACTTGATATTTGTGTCGATTTAGTTTTTGATTTCTTTCTTTGTCACAGTACGCCAGTAATTTAAACTGAATAAAATTTAGTGTTGAGATTTGACTTTTGTGTATGAAAGTTTGCTCAGTGTGTCTAAATTATAGACTATTGTTCAAGGTTTGCAAACGAAATAACTTGTGAGTGGTCCGGTTGCGGATGAAATTCGCGAATACTTGAATTGTCCCAATTATAGCTGCGGGAAATTTTAAGCCGACCAGTAAAAAGAAAATGATCTATTTTACTAATGGGGCGTACCACAAAGATCAGTTCTTGGTCTCTCAATTTTTTTTATTATTAGTGATCCACCAAATGTAACGCCTTCAGGTAAAATAACTATGTTTGCAGACGATATTAGTATTTCTCAAAGACACATCGAAAGTAGCGAAGGCGCAGTTTAGAACAAAAAATGTCTGAGATTGGATAAAGGAAACAGTTGACACTGATAGTCTAAAACAAAAAAGTTGACTCAGTTGGCGGCAATCCTGTATCAGTAAAAAAAAAATTAAGTATGTCGACTTTAGTACAATTTTAGTTCACTTGCTAGCGTTAGTAAGTTAGAACGAACCTTCTTTTTTTCTAACCTAACTCGCAAATAAAAGTGTTCATTATTTGGTGCCAAAGTGTTCATTATTTGTTGGCACTTTTGCTGTAATCACGATCAGTAGCATTGGAAATTTCATAGCAACTGTTCTCTGCTTTATTTCAGGCTAGTGATTGTGATTAACTAAGCTTCCGTGGTTGCGTGAGACTCATACCCTCATAGTCGCCGTATGTCGCAGATCGAATCCGACACCTAGCCGAATTTTAACTAATTTGAGGCTAATTTCTACTTTACCTTGCATTTTAGAGCTGATTTTGTCGTGTTATCGCTAGTATTTTCGAAGCGCGGCTTCCCTCTGTGTACTTCCTACGTAGAGACAGTCCATCAATATGATAATTTGCTCTAGATTTTACGCAAAATTATTATACGCAAAAAAAAACAGACAAGGAATTCGTAATTTTCTACACAGAGGCGAAGTTGTACTTCGCATACTCAAGCAAAAATATGACCGATAATGCTACTGGGGAAACTAAACAAGACTGCTCGTATCAGGGCGAAGCCCTGAAGGTTCCGACTGCCTTTTAAGATTTTATGGAGCAGTAATAACATTAAAAAATTAAATGTAAAAAAAAATAAAATAATTTTGAAATTTTTAATAGAAATTATCCCCCCACAAGCCAATTTAAAGTACAAAAAGATAGATTTAGCTCCTTGTTACAAATCAATTATAGCAAATAAGCTTCTTTCGACCAATTTGGAACGATTTTAAGAGGGATTAACTTTCCGCTTACGCGTTAATAGCGCGAAATATATCGCGCGTTAATTGTCCCAAAATGGCAATCTTTAAACCCCCATAACTTAACAAAAAATGATCACAGGTGAAATATCTTTTCAAATTTGAGCTCAGAACAACAATACTTTTTCAATGATAAAAAAAATTCCGTCAAAAATGGCTAGTTAAATTTGTCTGAAGAAAAAACCCACCCCGAGCACAAATATTCCGTTACTTTCGTATCGCATTTTAACTAGTATACGAAAAAGTTCATTAAAAACATCCGAACCTACCCAGGTTCGAGCCCTCTTATTTTGCTGCTGGTCGCCTTCCCTACATCTCGCTCTAGAGCCATGATACCTTGAAGCTGAAATGCTATTTGTAATATAATAATCTGTGTTAATGTCCTTGGCATTGGCTGTACTTAATAGCTGTATCAAATGAACACTTTCAAAATGAACACATCTTGTCGCAACAATTGCATCGCAACAATATTTGCGATTTAGAATGGAAAAAAAAGAAAGTTCATACTATAACACAAGCTATGCTTGTTTAAAAATGCTCTTCTCGGACAAGACAAAAGAATAACTCAACTCCCATGGATTAAAAGGATATTTTTTTCTCATTTGACGAACATTTCAATGTTTGTAGTCCTGGTTCGATGATTTTCTCGCTGTTGCTTACCCTTCCAGCACAAGAAATAGCTTCGAAGCACATCCACAGATCCCTCTCGGAACAACCCACTGCCTGCGGGGTAGTATAGGAAGTTGACGGACACATTGGCTGTAGCTGGCAACAGCTCAATCGAATTAAAAGCTACTTGTTCGAAACACGCTACTTGTTCGATCCCTTCCCTCATTCCACCCAAGCATTGTTCTTTAATTCTGAGCGCAGAAAATAAACACAAAAATGCAATTAGTTCTAAAGCAGTGGCACAGCAGCGGCTATCCGTTACGAGCCGAACTGCTCATATGTTGGTCCTTTCTCTTGGAAAAAATTGCCGTGATAATAGCTTGCAGTACTATAAAGATATTGTAAAATCAATCCATAGACTAAGATTGATACTATTTTCTACGATAGTGAAAGAGTTATTTTATGACCAGCATAAATAGTGCCTTGCACTAGAGCCTTTCAAGCCTTTATCTACTCGCATGATTTTTGGCTTGCTTCTATCGAAAAAAGCTAGCACAGACAATGACAATTAATTCTCGCTCGCAGTTCCTCCAATATTTTGCGATAAGACCGTGACAAAAAAAACGGATTCATTAATTTTAAAGATGTATTAAATTTCTACACTGCAAACTACCTTTTTCCTGAAAAAACCTAAAAAAATCAAGTCGACCTTAACAAACGTCTTCACTGTGTGCATTGATTTTCAATAATCCTTGAAAGGAGCCGTATAATGAATAGTTCCCAGAAGAATTGACATTTGCGAAAGTTTTCAGAGGTAGAAATTTCTAGGGGGTTGGGCCAACGAAGAAGTTGATTTGTATAGGGGTTGTGTGTATTCGACAATTGAGTAGTACAGAGCATTAACAAACTCAAACCACTTCACAAGAACGATTTAGCGTTAAAGTTTTTTAATGCTTGACTTATCAAGACGTGATAGACTTTTTTCTGCTTAACTTGTTAAACCGATTCACTTGGTACTTTGATTCATTATGAATTCAACCCTACAAGCGTCTCCCGCACACGTAGTCTTGAGGAAACGAACACACGTGGGACGACAAAAGTCGTGGGTTTGAATTTGACCAGGATTTGTTTTTTTCAAAGGCTAAACTCCGTTTCAAAACAAAATTGTCTGCCTATATTTTATCTGCTTATCTTTTCTCGGCTTTGTTGCCTAGTCTTCAGATTTTTTTCTGTACGCAATTTTCATGTAGTTGCTTTTAGTGCGTTGACTTACTCCTGCAACTTATAATTTCACTTGACTTGATTTTTCTTTTTTTAGATAGACCAAATTGATCACAAATTACTGTTAAGACCCTAATTTGGCAAAATTGTCTGCGCTCAGGCAATTTTTTTGAAACAGCAGGCCAAAAAAGGCGTTTTTAGGCACTTTTTGGAAAATGTTGACCAAAAAATTGCGTTTTTTCGGCGCGCGCTTCCCCCTCAAATTAGTACATATTGGTTATATCAGAAAATTCTTTGGGTCCTTCACCAAAACTGGATATCTCAAAATAATACAAAGGGACCCTTTGAGTCGGCAGGGGTCGTTGGGGTTTCTGGACATATTTTGCGCATATTTAACAACATAGCCAATTGAAGATTGCAAAAGAGTAAGGAACGCAAGTAAACATAAAAAAAACACTGACTTTGCTGAAAAAGTCTTTCTAAAACTTTTTCCGGAAGAGCCTTCACTATGTTCATTACTCTGGATCATTCTAGACAATTTTTTTTCAAAATATTTCTTTGGTTGATCAGAATATTTATTTTTTAGACTTTGCGGCTCTTTTCTTTCCTGTCTGATAGCTTGCAATGCTATTTTTATGGAGTATCGCAAGTGGTGCGAAGATCTGCTTCTCTTCTGTGTGAAAATTATTGTCAAACTTTACTCTGATCAGAAAAATTTTTTCCGAGCTTTCCCAAACAATGAAAAGAAACAATTGAGCAAAAAATTTCAGTTTTTTGGCCAAAAATGGTATCCATCTCAAAAAAAAGGAATTTTGCGAAGTGAGTTGTCGGATTCCCGAGTTGTGGGGGCGTGCGCCCTTCCTCAAATCTGCCCCTGATTTCACCTCAAGTATACCACACCACTACAGCCTTTGTGTGATATAATGCTTAAAACTATGAACTTTTCTGTTCGCCAATTATCTGTTCACCAATTATCTGTTCACCATTTTGCGGTACCTCCGTCTCTGGCGATCCAGCATCTATACTCACCTTGAGACAAAAGGAAATGAAGGAAGATTTTAAAAGTTTATTTTAATTGAAAGTTAGCACTTGATTGTAGAACAAAATTTGAGAGTATTTGAACAATTTGTTGCATCAGCAAAATAAAATAGAGACTAGGTCTTGCCTAGAAGACGTATTTTATAAACTGCATTTACCTACCACTCTACCGGTCAAAAACATGCTGCCGCAGAGCTAAAATAGAAAATACTGCCTCTATTCTCGATTAGAATACAATTTGATTGCTCTCATTCGCAAATGAGGTTTGGTCAGTTTAGTTTCGAATGTCGCGGCGACTGCTGGAGTGTAGCGGCGTTGAGGAGCTTCGTAAGCAGATTGTCCTGATGTGTCAATTCGGATAGAATAAAACAATTGATTAGCAGACACTTTTCATGTCCAAGTCCAAATATCAAACGTCAAAAAAGCGACAAGTCGATTGTCCTTTCTAACAAATTATTTTCGTTTCTTTTCGCCTGCAGCGAAATGTCTATTAAAGTTTTTATCACATTTTTATCAGTCGGAGATTTTGTCACATTTTTTATTTTGATTTCTTTTGTCTTAAATTCATTTTTTCGAGTGACTCTTTTCAGAGCAATGTTTCTTTATTTGCGGGTTTTCAGGCGTTTTTTTTTGGCTATTGAATGAAGGCGGCGGTAACTCCTTCTTCGTCAATCGTTCGCTTCTTCGTCAATCGTCATGCTGCATCTCGCGATAGTCGTTAATAGCTCGCATGGCATAGTAGAGCTCTATCTGCATGCGAGCTTCCATAACAAGAATGCAAATATGCACCTGAAACAGCATGAACAAAACTTGGAAAACATAGCCAACTGACAGTTGGAAAAGAGTAATGAACGCAAGGAAACTGAAAAACAACTGACTTGTTTTTTCAAAAACCTTCATCTTTTGAATTTCGAAGAAAAACATAGATGGCCTTAAAGCTCTTTGAATTTGTAGAACAATTTATGACGGACGGTTTTTTTTGTTAAAATTAACCTAATTTGAGAAAACTGGATCAATAGGCAAAACTTATATTTCGCTGGGAAATCTGATTATTTTCCCTTTTCGAAATTAGCAGTCAATCACATTTTTCGTGACCTTTAACTTTTGCTGTTCAATAAAGGAGTTTGCCTTCCTTTTACCAATGGAAATGCACCGAACTTGAAACGAAATCTCAAGTCAAACCTCGAAAAATCAAAATTGAGCATGAACAAAATTGAGCGAGAACAAAGACTTTTTCCTGAAAAAAAATCAGCAAGACCTATATAAGAGTACTCACTACGTTTATTGCTCTTAAAAACATAAGGATAACGTCATATTTTACAGTTGGTTTCGAACTGCAGAATTAGTGTTTGCCTTTTATCTTCAAAAATCTTTACCATGATTTTAACACATGCTGTTTTTGACTGAACTTGGCGAGTTTTGAAAACCCAATTAGCTACTCAATAGTTCGAAGCTTAAATGAAACATGCTGCGAAATACGTGCAAAGTGAAGATATTATGCTGACATTGCCAGCAAAAAAGCAAAGATGTCAATGAATTAGAAAAACCATAAATCCAAAAAAAATTTGGATTTGAACTTCATTCCTTTACACTTAAATCTAAGTGAAAAGTACTTTTTCGTTTCAGTAAAAATTTTATAATTTTATAAACAGTATTTTTTAAGTATGCATAGTACCTTTCCGTTTCAGTAATAATTTTAATGATATTAATATTACTATTTCATTAATATAAGCATTTCAAGTATTCATTGCACCCTTTCGCTTAAGTAATATTTTCAATGTTTTAAATGATATCAATATTATACTTATCGTATTATATTATTACTACAATGAATACCATTTCTGAGTGGTCCAGTTGGTATGGGTTGCAGGAGAGAAAAAACTGTCTGGTGATGGAGTGTGGCTGCACCAGAGCCCTCTTGGCGAAGTGGATGAAGAGACGGCCAGCTTGTCTGCCGGAGAAGAAGTCGATCAGGTCATAGTTGAAGTCGTCGTAGAGAATGCCATGAGTCATGAGACACACACAGGGTATGGTTCGTCTGAAGCTCGTAGTGTTCACACTTCCACTCTGACCATACTTGCCAAACCTACGCAACACAACGAACCCATACATGAGATAGAAATGGCCATAGTTTGAAAACAAGCGATATGGTTCTTCTAGACTTCTCAAGCACGCCCTTGCACACGCATGCAAGCAAACACATATAATCGGTGGTTTTAACTTTGATTAAAAACTTAACTTGATAAAATCGAGATCATCCGATTAAATACCATAATGGCCACATTTTGTTCTAATTTTGTTCGTAATATACAAATGAAAACCACACACCAAGCCAAAACATTACAAAAACCAGCTGTTTTGGTAGAGAAAGTGAAAATAGCTGCTGAAATGAACAGTCATATGTTTAGGTTTTTTAGGGAGTCTACTCTAGCTAACTCAAGGACAATTTTACTGAAATTTACGAAAAAAAGTTATAGCATACTGGGAAAACATGTTCACATTTGCAGACCTGACTAACATGATATCAACCAAAATATGATGTCAGACCATTAAATCGCCAGGATTAAACTAATTTCGAAAATTTGGTTAACAAATTTAGACTGTACTTAATAAAACCGCAAAATTAGCTCAACTATTTGCTCTGTAACTCCTAATCTGACACTAAATCTGTTTAACTATTTCATGAAAACTGTTTGATCTTATCGGCTAATGTCGACTAAAGTGCTTTCAACTTTTGAGAAAATTCTAGAACTTCTCAGAGTTCAACAAAAATTGCCATCCAAACATAGCCAACAGACAGTTGGAAAATGAACTCGATAAATCCGAGACAAAAATTTTAAAGAACAATGAAGCCCCTTAAGTTCTTTCGAAAATTTTTGAAGCTTTTTTGATTGGTATTTTTTTTGATAACGACAAAGAATATTCAGAATACTGAATTATTAGGTAAATTTTTCAGTCCGAATAAATCCAAGAAATAAAATCCACTTACGAAAGTACAAATCAAAAGAATTTTCCAGCTTTTTCAAAGAAATTTTCATTGAGAAAACACGAATAAAACACAGAGCCGAAGCCGAGCTTCGCATCACTTGCGAAACAATACAAACATAAAAAAGCTTAAGAAGTCGAGAAAAAAACTGAGAAATGTTCTTATGTCTCGATGAGTTAGCATCTTAAAATAGCAACGCAACAAAACTTCCGAAGCGGAAACAAAGGCGAAAATCTTTGAGCAGACATCAGTTGAGCCGAAAAAAAACAGATTTTCTAAACAAGTTTTACGCCTCTGAAACTACAAAGCATAACACTTGCAACTATAATTAAAGTTTTCTAGATAAAAAAATCCGTGATGCGGCAAATAAGCCGAAAAAGTTGGAAAGACCACATGAAGTCCGACAACTCAACTTTTACCTGAAAGAAAAATTAAAATTCATGAGCAAAAAACCTGTCGGGACTCAAACCCCAGACCTTAGGGTGCAAAGGCGACTTCGTTATCTTAAGCCCAAGGGAAATGAGCCTGGAAGGGAAATGAGATTAAGAGAAAGACCTCGGATTCAAATCCTGACCTCCACGCGTCTTAGCCACTAGGCCTTACCTTACACTCCCATTACGCAAAATCTATCCTTCGATATCTGTACAACTGCAGCAGTACTGTACTCGGGGTTAAAAATAAAACGAATAATACTGTAATGGCAAAAAACGGGCAATACTGTACTGTTATTGTAGTGTACTGACTTGTTGTAAGTGAGGCTGAATGCAGTTTTGCTCCTCTGTTCGGCCTGGCGTCGCAGAGTGGCAGTGCTGCTGTTCCTGTTGTCTCCTCCCCGCTGCTCCAGCAAAAAGTCCAAGCTGCTCACCACTCTGCTCACACTCTCCTCATTCGTTTCCGTCCACTCATCCTCTTCCCCTCCCCCTCCCTCTGTTCCAGTTGCACTGCTGACACCAAAGTCCACGTGACCCATCTCAACCCCTAGGTACTTCCTGAAAAAAAACACGCATACAAGTTAAACTACCATCAACATGCCATTTTAATGGTTATTTCGTATTCTAAAGCCAGCGTTGACTTTTAAATCTAAAACGTTTAATTTTTCGATCTAAACACGAGGCTCAAATTAATGAAACCACCAATTTATGCTACCCATGGCTGACGATTCGTCAGATCATTAATAACACATTTATTATCTCCCCAAATGAGAATGCAAGCAGATTAAACGATTTGAGAATAAACGCGATGTGAAAGTGAAGTCTTCTCCCTCCACCACGTAATTTAGGAAATTGTGAAAAAAAAAAACGATGTCCGCAATGGTGTGTCCTCCATACCTGAAGTTCAGACAGCATTCAGATCCATCTAATTCAAACATTCTTAATCTTAAATACTTATAATATTCTCTCCGCTGAAACCGATACAAGTGAAATACTTTTTTAGACTTGGACATAAAATAAAAAATTCTTAGACATTACAAGTCTAAAGGCCATATCAGTTATTTTTACTATCTAAGTTCTAAGTTTTCGTTTAGATCCTGCAATCACTTCAAAAAAAAACAAAAATCGCCGCAAGAGTTTTTTGAAAATATGATCTGAACATTCTATGCCACTTGAATAGTAACCGGCTATCCTTGTTGTTCCGACCATTGAAAATGGGGAGAAACTTTTTATTCCGGTGTATTAGTTTTTTAAAAAAATTTTTTCAACTTTGTTTCCCACGGAAAATCAGTTAACACAAATAATCTGCGGAATGGGTGGAGTGATATATCATATTAAAACCATGAGTCGTGATTCGAACAGCATATAAAGTTTTTGGAAATTTTTAACGCCATTTTGGGAATCACAAACTTCAGAAATTAAAAATCACAATTTTTCTTACAATTTACAGTTTTTTTACAATTTTTTCTTCATTTTTTTTAGTTAACTTTTCTTTAAAAAGTATTTTCCAATGTGCCAATATTACTATGACTGTCAAATTTGCCTAAGTTTTATTTTTCCCTTCGGATCTTTTTTCACATCACGCAGAAAAAAAACCTCACTAATTTGAATAAACTTTTTTGTAATTTTTTAAGACTATCGTCGGAACATTCCATTCTGTGCTGCTTCTTGCATAGTAACCGACTATCCTTGTTTTGTTTTTTTTCCACGCCAAACCATTAGATTTTTTTGTTTTTCGATTATTTTTTTTAGAGACCCTTGTCATATAGGCGTATTCTGCTCTTACTATCGAATATACTTAAGTTTTAGGCTTTTGTTCAGATCCGCTCATTGGCGAATGAACAAAAAACAACTTGCTAAAATATGTTTCTTTTTTGTGGTCAAAACTTCTGTGCTACTTGCACATGAAACCGGCTATACTTGTTCTCATTGTCATTTGTTTATAACTTAATCAATTTACAAAAAATGCAAGTTATAAATGTTCATGTTTTGAAGTGCGCAACACAAGTCTTGTTCCCACCTGTTCTGCTGTGATATCTGGGCACTCTTCAGACTAGCCGAGCTGATCTTGAGGATAGCATCTCCATTGCTACTCCCACTCCCACTACCACCACTAGCGCTCACTGATACTGTATCTATTCGACCATTAAGGCCACCGTCAGATCCCAACGAAGCGCCAACCTGAACAACGCCAAAAAAATATAATTTTTAGTTAGTACTCAGAAAACTTACAAATTCCAAACCACTCCTTACTAATTCGCAATTTTTGATCCATCCTAGCCAACGGCAACTGCTCGCTCCTAGACCCGCCAGGTACTATTTTGCGCCAGTTATCCCGTTTGGTACAATTTAACTATTTTTTAAAAACTTTTTTAGAGAGGCCAATATTTTCTCATTTTAAGTGGATTGTTCGGTCGATCAACTTAGTCGATTAAAAAGGCGCAAATTTTTTGATAACCTCTCCTCGCAGGCATCCTTGATCACAGCTATTGCCATGATATTTAGTGCCTGTTATCAAAACACAAACATACTTTCTCTAAAGACGCGTCTCGACTGGGGCCATGCGACTGCTGTGTCACAGAGTCTTTTTCTCCTCCTCCTCCAAGGGAACATGAGTTGTTTGAGTCATTGCGGTTATGGCGTCCTTGTTGGCCAGCAGAGTCAGTTCTACTCAGATGTCTCACTATGCTCTGGTAGGAGTGAGAATGAGCTGAGTCAGAATGCAAAGACGAGTAGTCACTCTTATGAGGGATGGTCTGCAACTGCTCTATGAAATCTGCACCCTCTTCCTTGTCCGCCTAAACATCAGCAGTCCAGAAAAACAATTCAAAGAAAAAATATATGCCCTTAAAGCACTTCGAATTTCAAAAACTAATTATGACTGACACTTTTTTGATCAAATTAACCCAATTTGAGAAAACTGGATCAAAAGGAAAATTTTCTATTCCACTGGGAATTCTAAAAACTAAAATCCACTTTTGAAACTAGAAGTCGAGCACGTTTATCACGCAGTTAACAATTTTGTCTCCTATAATGGAGTTTGCCTTCGTTTTAACAAAAGAAATGAACTCAACTTAAAAAGAAAACAAAAGTCAAACCACGAAACATCAAATTTGAGCATGGAAAAATTTTTGGGACTTTTTGCTGAAGAAAAACACCAAGACCTAATTAAGTGTCTTCACTAGGTTCACTGACACAAAACCAAAATAAAACATACAGCAAACAATTTTCAAAAAAAACCAAAAACTCTTTCCAAAAATTGAAATTTTGTAACCAGTATAGTTCGTAAAGTAATACCTGTCTATCGTCTCATAATAGCACTTCAGAACCAAAGTCAGAAACAAATGACCCTCAGATGGCAAATTAAACATAGTCAACAGACAGTTGGAAAAAGTCAATGACCACAAGTCAACAGAAAAAAAATACTGACTAGTTTTTAAAATCTTAACTTTCGAATTTCCAAGAAAAAATATATGGCCTTAAAGCTCTTTGAATTTCTAGAACAATTTATGATTGACACTTATCTATCAAAATTTACACAATCAGAAAACTGCATAAATAGTTTTAAAAAATGTTCCGCTCGGAAATCTGATCATTCAATTCCGTTTTCGAATTAGAAGTCGGTAACCTTTATACTTTTTCGTGACCTTTACCCATTGGCTGATCGATAGTGGAAATTGCCTCCCCTTTAACAAAGTAAATGAACTGAACTTTAAAAAAAATCAAAAGTCAAACTTTTGATTTTGTCTGGGATTAATATTTCATTTTGAATAATTTTATCTGGTATGATTTAATCTGGGATGATTTTGAATGTCTGCCGATTGATCTAAAATATGTAAATCTAAAATACGAAAAGATTGATCTAAAATACGAAAAAGTCTAAAATAGTAAATACTCTTCTGAGTTATGTTTTACGTACTGTACTCATAGAGTAATTTCAGATAAGGTACACCGTCTGTTCGTCACGCTATCTTTTTTTCGGCCGGATAGGTTCGTGCACCTTCTTAATCTAATGACAATCTTAATCTTACTCTTATATCTCCTAGTCTCAATAGATCTAGTGTATACTGGTCTTTGCGAGTTAGTTCTTGGAGTTTATACAGAAGGAGAACAACTGTAGTCTAAGATTTATTCAAATTGTTCTGGTGCTGAAACTACAAGTAGTTTCAGCACTTACAAATAAGTGTCTATGTTAGCATGCTAGTTTAGAACTGGTTCCACTTCTTTAGACTATTGGAAAATAGGTCGACTCTTATTTCAAACAATTTGAACTTCCAGCTGTTTCGTAAAAAAACAGCACGCTCACTAACTCGCGCGTGTGTAACTATACAAGTTTGAGCAAATCTGATTCAATTATTTTTTGCTTACTCAACTAAAATCCACTTTAAAAACTTAAACAAAATCCAGTTTGCCTTTTGTTTATCGAAACGTAATTTGCCTTACATTTGGCAAATGAATTTAAAGAGGTTCCACGGCAATCTGAAATTAAACCACTTAAATATAAAGTAAGCGCGAACAAATATTTCGACTTTCCCGAAACAAAACGTGCAAATTAAATAAGTAAAAAGTTCATCAAATCGTAACTTTTTTAAACCACATAATGCTTCCGTTAAACTTAAAGCAGGTATTTTGTTTAATTTCTTCCAAACAAACCAAGTATATTAGATTAGCTTACAAAAAAGTGTGCCGGAGTTGCCCTCCCGCTGACCGGGGTGACCCCACCACTGCTGCTGGGCGAACTTGGACCTGCGAAATTCGACTGCACTGCGAGAGAGTTGCTGCTTGAACAAGTATTACTTGGACTACTCAAACCCCCACTAACGTTCTCGCCCACTCCGTTCTCTCTATTGACACTTGAAGACTGCGAAGCGCCAACTCCAATCACTTCATTTGACCTTAAAAACACCATATTCATGTAAACTGCAAAAACCTAAGCAGTTCATATCTGCAACAGCTTTTGAATATTTGCAAGTTCTGTCGATAGCTTGTAAAAATATATCAATTCAGTTTTTTTTTTCAAATTTAAATGATTTCTGATTGTTTATGAATGACAACTTGACTTGAGCTACATTTTGAATGTAAATTTTACATAGAGGCGAAGCTTCGCTTGGCAAACACTAGCGAGAACACGACAGAAAGCAGCTTTATAAAGCGCAATAAGAAAAAGCACAAATAAGCCTCGAATTAGCAAAAATTCGGCTACGTCTGAGATTCTATCGGCGACCTTGAGATTAAGAGTCACACACTAACCACTCAGCCACGGAAGCTTAGTAGATAGAAGATTAAACACTAGCCACAAATAAAGCAGAGAACAGATGCTAGTGTAAAAATAAAACCCAGTCAAAGTTCTCAGTAGATGAACATTAACAAGAGTTCATGTCCAATGCCTCTTTTATTGCTTCACAAATCACAGCAGATATCTACGACCAAACATATTGCTAAATTTACAATTTAAAAATTACATTCGGAGTCTTATCTTGGGAGCTTCCAGTTTTTTAAAAGTTTATTACTAGACGAGCTACTAAAAATTTATTGAAGATCCCAGTCTTTCGTATTAAATTGGAAATATTATCCATTCGGTACAGAGCTACCAAGCTCTTCAAAAATCTGCATTAAAATGGTTTGCTTGCTATCCTAAAATTTTTTGAAAAAAATCAAAAAACAAAAAACAATATTTTCCAATTTATGCAAAACGTTCGGAATATTTAGCTTCTCAGTAATAATGAAATAATAGTTGATTTCATTTAATTCTAACAGATCATAGCTGAGAGGTAAACATCCTAGACTCTCAGCCCGGGAGCATGAGCTCGATTCCCGGTGCTTACCCGCTACTTTATAGATACTAAGCGATTACTTATACATTACTTAATAGATACTAAGCGAATAGTTTTGATTGTCTTTGTTCATAAAGGCATGTTTGTCTTGTGGTAACAAGCGTGACTGTCCTCCCTTTAGATATGTTTCGATCCCAGTAGTGACCAATTATTCTCGCATAGCCAAAATATTTTACTATAATAATTTTAAACAGATGTGAAGCTCCGCTTTGCAAGAACTAGCGAGAAAAGGACAAAAAACAGCTCTTTAAAGTGAAATAAGTTTGAATGCTAGCATCGCAAAAGTTACTATGTTGGAACACTACTGTTTTCTGACAGTAAATATGCCTTCAACCGATCTTAAATTATTTAAGTGCTGGTTTTCAGTTATAAATAAGTTTTTAAAAAAAAAGAAATAAGCCTCAACTTAGGTTGGGAAAAAAAAGTTGCTGCGTAGTATTACACTACGATCCACTTGTGTAAATAATGACGACTCCATCTGTCTACCTTGCATGACTGCTGTTCTGTGCTGTTTGCGTGGAGGTGGCAGCGGAGGTATTTGAGGCTTTGAAGTAGTCGTGGTTGGGAGGAGGCATGACTCCTGTGGCAAGGATGAATCCGCTGAGAGAGTGGAAGTGTGCGAGGATGATGACTGCCTGGACCAGTTTGTCCTGAGGCCACTGTCTCGAACCCCCACTTCCCTCCACCACTTCCTGATACACACAACGCAGCCTATCTTTAATTTTTCTCAGGTATTAGGCATAGCTTCACACCACATGCGATGCAAATATTTATAATAAAAAAAAAACATCATTGTAATGCAGAAAAAAGCAAAACAACAACGGTTATTTCGATAAAAAAAAACAGCAGACGCATATTTCCTTTATCGTCGTCAAAAATAATGAACTGGAAACCAATACATATGAGAAAAACTATAGAGGCATATTTACATTCCTTTTCATCAAAAATAATAAACAGACCAGCTTATGAGAGAGCATAATCAAGAAAAAATTGCGAACATAAACACAACAATAAAAAGGATCACCGGTTGTTGTACAAATAGTACGAATATTCCGACAATTATACAAAACTTCGAGTTTCTTTTTTCGAATTGTATTGACTACGACTGTCGAATATACCTAATTCCTGTTTTTCCATTCAGATCACACTACACAGAAAAAAAAAACGAAACTAATTTGAAAACACAGCCAGTCGAAGATTGGAAAAGAGTAATGAACGCAACATTAAACATAAAAAAACTCTTTCTCAATTTTCGAATTTCAAAGAAAAAAATAGACGCAACTTAAGCTCTATAAAGTTTTAGAACAATTTATGATTTGCGCATTTTTGATAGCATGAACCCAACTAGGGAAAACTGGATCAATAGATAATTTCAAGTTCGCATTTAGAGAGTGCTATTTACGTCACTTTCAGCAGATGAATTTCAATTGAACTCAAAAAGTGCATATTTAATTAAGTGCGTTCATAAATGCATCAAATGCATCAATATGTATGAATGCACATCTGTAGTTATTAGAAACTTTTAAGACTTTTCCTGAAAAACAAAAAAAATCAGCAAGACCTATAAAAGGGTCTTCACTACGTTCATTACTCTTTAAAATTGTGTTTTTTAAGACTATTTCGGAAGATTCAGTGCTATGTGCTGTGGAAGATTTATGTTTTAAAATAAACTGGCTTCCTTGTTTATTAAAAAAAAAAAATTGAAAGCGCTCAAAGGAACTTCGAAACTGATTTTTGTAACCGGAATAAAACCAAATTTCACGGTCTTACTCGAGTTATAAGAATTAGACACAAAGGCGAAGCTGCAATTTCGCAGAATCAGGAGCTTCAAAACGCACAAACACAAAACTTTTGCATGTAATAATTTGGGATGTAATAAACTAAAGGCAACAATACTGACTTTGCAAGTGACAAATTAAAATGTATTACACCAATATGCGTAAAAATGATATATTTCAAAAATGTCGTGAAATACGAGTTAGAAAATTTCTAAATTAACTTTTTTCGGTTCAATTGATGAATTAAAAAAAGCATCAACTGTACTAATTTATTGCTAATCAAATGTCAAAGCCCATGGTATTATAATTCATAAGCACCACGAATAGTAGCACTTTTATTTGCGACTTACGTTGGAAAAAAGTTATACATAACCTAGTTAGTCCGTATGTCAATTTTCATAGCAATCGAACAATAAGAACAAAATTTTGCAGGGGGGATGGGCAAAGAAAAAGAGCCAAATTTCAAACCGGTTTTTCTCGACACAGGGAAAAGTTTCGAATGACGTTCGAATCAATGCTGAAATGGATTTGATATGATATACCACTCGACCTATTCCGATGATTATTTGTGGTAGCTGATTTTGCGTGGGAAAAAAATTAAAACACACCCGAATACAAATTTCCTCCCCATTTTCAATGGTGGGCACAAAAAACCAAGCGAAGCAAATATTATCTGACCTTGGCAAATGCTTGATCTGAATTCCAGCAGGCATTTGGAAATGAATACGAAATATGTCCTAAAGCTGACTGCTGCCGTGATCACGCCACTTTGTAACAATTTAAAAAATCACCGATTCTAGTAAACTTTTACCATAATAAAGCGGAAAAACTCATTCGATGCCTTCGAATATGACATCTACGAATTACGATAAACGTTTTTTATATATAAATTTTCTTTATTTCACGTTTTTTTTGCATAGAGACAATTGCCGTTTTCCTTACTTTTTTCCTTAGTAAAAAAAAAACAAGTGTTTGAAAGCTAAAGCTAACCTTAATCGTATGTGCGTTTATCTTCCATGGTGCGTGGGCTAAAAGCGCGTTTAGGTTGACCAGAGCCTTCACATCTAGGAGCATATTTCTCTGGCGCTGTTTAGACATGGCAGCGGCAGACGAATCCTCCCCCCGCATGGTGGTGGCAGTGCTAGATGAGGCGGCAGACGAGGAAGGGGGAGAGAAGCCGAACTGGGCGAAGGGGTCGTCTTCTGGAAGTAATTCGAGCACCGAGCGGATCAAGTAAGAGCAGTCAAATCGAGCAGCAGCCTAGAAAAACGAGAAAAGTGACAAGAAATAAACAACTCCGGACTATTTTAAAAAGATTTTATCAATCTGAAAACTGCTCTTGCCTTCCTAAGTCGGTAATTATTTTGAAGATACAATTATTTGAAAGTGACAATTATTTGACACTAGACTTAGGACCAAAATAACTGTAGAACTGATGGCTAACTGAGACCCAAGCATACTGCTTTTGAGGATGACTTTCGTGATTAGGGGCTTATTCACAAGGCAGACCCAATGAAGAGGAACGAATAGCATCTCAACCAACTGATATCATTTAGGCTGTCCAAATTAACCTAATACACCACTTTATAATATTTTGATATTTATATTTTCGGCTGACTGACCTAAATTTTTTAAAAGCGCCCTGGGCGCCAATATATACTAATTTTGAGCGGGGAGCGCGCACCAAAAAACGCAATTTTTTGGTCAGAATTTTCCAAAAAGAGCCTTTTTGTCCAGTTTTGTTTTCGAAATTTGCTCAAGCGCGCAAAAATTTTTGTTGAAATAGGGTCTTTATACTGATTTGGGAGAGCTCAAACAATTAATTTGGCAGACCTAAAAAAAGGTCGACTAAATATTCAAGAGAATTTAATGCGCTCTTTTTTGATGCAAAAAAATGATAATGTACATTTTTCCTCTTCTATAAAATCTCGAATACACAGAATGAAATATCTAACTAGCAGGTTGAAAAGTAGACAACAGTCCCGTTGTTTAATCCCTCCACGTCTCGTTTCATGAAGTAGGGTAATTTTTTAAAATCTGATATTTTTGGTGAAATTAGTTACTTCTAAATGATTTGGAGAAATGACAAAATTCAAGGTTAATGATTGGTTTGAGATTTTCCATCTTTGGTTCTAGACACAGAAAAGCGACTTCGAGGCGCAAAAAGAGCTCCGCCTGATAAAGTAGCTCTGTGTCTGGTGCAATAAGAGAAGCGGACTATACTAAGACAGGCTGGAAATCGTTTAATAGATTGTCTGCGAATCGAAAAACCGTAATAATTATTACTATTTAGGTATTGAGAGTAGACATCATCTGAGAAGAAACTCTAACCATTAAAGTGAGGTAGGATACCAGAGTAGGGTCGAAGTTAGAGGGCGAGATGTGAGGATGAGAATGCAGACTGTGCTCGAATGAGAGGAACTCCTTCATGTACTGAGGATGGTAGGCCAACAGAAAGTGCACATTCGGAACACGCAGACCGTGCAGTCGGAAAGTTCCCACGTAAAGTCTGTACTTCTCCACCTATTAAACAGCAAAATAAGTGTACCCAGTTGCTGTGCAAAAAGCAGAAGAATCATCCGATCGACAATAGTAACTTTTAAATAAGTCAAACTACAATTATTCCTTATTTGCCTTCTTTTTTTTGTGTGTGTGGAGACGGAACAAGAGTTAAGCTTAAGAAGCTTATAAACAAAAATAAGAAAAACAATAAGAAACAATGGCAACTTCTTCAGCCATATATTTGCATAGCGAAAACAAACAGCAAAAACAAAGATAGTTTTTTCCATTTCTAATACATCCCATACTTTTTGCAGCTTGAACTTTTGATTTTTGATCTTTATGAAGCGCTTTGTTTAGCTTTAAAAATAATTCCTCTAGATTCTCACAAATAAAACAAATTAGTTTTTATAGCTTAACTAGCGGCCAGCTAAAACTGGAGGTACCTAATTGATTTTTCTTATGAGAACGCTATACTGATGCAGAAGGTAATGAGTAATTTTCAAAATGCCAAAAATTATGAGGTACGCACACAATGCATTCTGATACTCTTATATACCCAAAAGGGGATAAACTTGCAGGTCAAATTGGAGAATCAGATTTTATAGTCTCAAATGAAAATCTCCCAACCCGGGTCACCAACACTTGTTCAAGCTCACCAGACAATTACACTTGCTTATATCTGGCAATGAGGGCAAATTGGAGCACTGAAGTAGCAATTGGCTCAAATCAAGTCCCTAACAACATAAAACTCACATGCGAAATCGAATTTTTTTAAACAGAGAAACGCACTTAAATTAATTTCAGGAAAGCAGACTGGTTGAAATTGTGAGGAAACAGAATTTTTTCTTAAAGCGCAAGTCGCACGCAAAGTTCTCAAGATTAAAAATGTGACAGATATATCATAAGAAAAACACTTCACGAAATATCCCAAAGGTCAGAACACCTGAAATAACAAGTAGGTGCTTCACTTGGCAAGGTATTTTTTACGTGCTTTATTTATTCAAACAAACATAGCCAAAAAATGGTTGGAAAAAATAACAGTGAAAAAAACTCTGATTGAAAAGTTCGGAACTGGGTCGGAGTGTTTCAAGTTCAATACAATTTAACAACCCTTGAGACGCGATTTTCATATCCATAATTTCAAAAAAATATATATTATCTTAAAGCTCTTTGATTTGCAAGAATTCTTTAAATTTTGCTCTTATCCCAGTAAAAGAAAACTGGATGAAAGATAATTATCAAAAGATACTTTAACAAAGGAAGTGAACTGAATTTTAAAAAAGGCAAAAGACTCAAAGACTGAGTAGTAATAATAGCTCAGATGACGTTAAAAGTATAGTATTTACAAACTGAAATATCAGTCTCGCACTACGTGTCATTAGTAAATTCCGTGTAATCTAGTCTGAAACACGTAAGAGGCTTTTCTCAACACAAGAAAACTTTTCGCAAAACTTTTTCAGAATCCAAATCACGACCATTCGGGCTTGTGTTTATGATAGCACATCTGATCTACAACGAGACGCCGTCAAAAAATGGAGTTAAAAACACACCCCGCAACATAGTTCCTTCAAGTCACTTTCAGTGACGAGGTGGGAACAATGACTTTCGGGACGACAAATTTTTTATTAACAGCGCATGAAGGCTCAAAAAATTTCATTTCTTCATTGCATGACTTAAATCGACTCTTTGAATAAGCAGGATGAAATAAGAATTTGATAAAATGGACGAATAGTCAAAAGCATGCAAAAAAACTGTGCGCAAACATAATTGAAAAAAACTTTAAAAAAATAAACCCCATTCCAACTAGAAATATACATGTATATTCCAGACAACAGTAAACAAAGGCATGTAGTTTACATGTAAAATGGGAAGAAGAGCTATACAATTAGGAATGAAAACCAGGCAAGCAGGCGACGAGACTGTATCAATTATTCTCAAGAAATATCAAGAGCACACATACTTCCTGATAATTAGCACTCAATAAATCACTTATGACGCGGATTCGATAAAAAGATACCTCAAAAAAAATACCTCTTAGTGTCGACAAAACTGGTCTGCCTATTTTTCTACTCAGCAGAGATTAGCGTGATCAGATTTAACTTTTTAAAATGGTGTAGGTGACTATTATATTATACTTGCATTTTAATTTCGTTACTCCACTCTATTTACGCATGGAGTAGCTTACTCATAGAGTAATTTCAGATACGGTACACCGTCTGTTCGTCACGCTATCTTATTTTCGGCCGGATAGGTTCGTGCAACTTCTTAGTCTAATACCAATCTTAATCTTACTCTTATATCTCCTAGTCTCAATAGATCTAGTGTATACTGTTCTTTGCGGGTTAGATATCCGGAACTAATTCCAAAGGAGAACAACTGTCTTCTAAGTTATATTTAAATTGTTCTGGTGCTGAAACTACAAGTAGTTTCAGCATTATAAATAATTGTCAGTGTTAGTTATGGATCATGATTGGTTAGTAAGAAATATTTTATAGAGATAGTTTTATCAAGAATATAATTGATTATAAATACTAGTTTTAAACTGGTTCCACTATCGAAAAAAACGGTTCAGCATTAAAATAAAAGGTCATTGAAAGTTTACTTAGGACGGAACACTGCTTCTTTCACAGCATCGTTGTACCCTTATTGATGCAAGGATCTTGTTTATGAAAAACTACCGCTCAACAACGACAATATATTAATCAATTTCAGAAAAGTATGAGCTTCAAACTTGGGAAAAAACAGCAAATCTGGGTTTTAAAAACACAAAAACAGAGGGACACAAAATTATTATGCCAAAAAACAACAATTTTTATCTGATTTATTAAGAGAAAACTAACTCGAAGTAGGAAAAAAAGAGTTGTGACAAACAAGCGATAGTTATTCACATTTTTAGGGGATCGCTCACCTTCCTACTCAAATATACCATGGGTCACTTCTTCAAAGCTGCCTACACAGCAAACAAGATACTTTGAGGACTGATTTCAATTTGACGAGTCTCTTCTGATTTTTTTAAGTTTGTTATTAAATGTTTGAGATTAAAAAGACATAAATTTCCTATTTAAGATTTTCGCATTGTTTATTCAATTTTTTTGGCAGTATGTCAGCGAAACTCAGTTTTCAACGAAAATTGCACCAAAACTGCTTTTGAAATGACGTCTAAGAAGCATCAACGCCGACACTTAGTCGCAAAAATGTAGCAAAACATCTCCGGTGGAAGATTATTAGAGAAGGCAACTTAGTTATAAAGGTTTCCTTCTAACCTGCAGACTGATCTCGGAAGACGAAGTTGATGAAGACGACGAAGTGGAATCTTCTACTTTTCGAGGGCATGTTTCTTCAGTCCGGCTCTTCTCCTCTGAATCATCTCCCCCTCCATCAACCTCCTCTTTTCTCCTGCTGGCCCTTCTTTTGCGTCTCATTCTGCTAACGTGTTGTCTGTATACTTTTTCAACCACTGCCATTCCATTGTGGCAATCAATCTAAACATTTTAGAAAAATTGCTTTAAAAACGGCTGAAAAACATTAGCCTCATTTTTCTGGTATGTTTTGCTCATAATTTCTCTACACTAAATCTTGACACAGAAGCAAAACTGTGCTTCGCAAACACTCGCGCGAGCACGACAAAAAGAAGCTCTATAAATTGCAATAAGAAAAAGTAGAGATAAAACTGGGATTAGTAAAAATTCGGCAACGTGTCGGATTCGATCTGTGACCTACATATTATGAGTCTCACACACTTACCACTCAGCCAAGGACGCTGAACATCACAAACACTACCCACAAAAAAGCAGAGAGCAGATGCTATGAAATCTCCCATGCTAAAGATCGTGATTACAGTAAAAATGTCACCAAATAAGTGAACACTTTTAATGAACACTCTTACTTGCGAGTTTGATTAGAAACAAGAAGGTTCGTACTGATACACAAACGCTCGCAAACTCAAAGCTTGTGTAAAAAAATTTGATTTATCTGGTCAAAAAAGCTGCCGAAATCTCACAATTCTAACACTTGTTCTGTTGTTTATGAAAAAGCAACAATAAGCTTGAAAACAGAAGCAAAGCGGCGGTTCGCAATACTTGCGATTAAAAAACAATATAGTAAAAAAGCATTTTGATATAGAGTAAATGCGTTACAATTATAAATAGTTTGATGCAACAAAACAAAAAAAAATCAAAAGTTTGAGCAAAGCAAAATAGGAAAAACGCAAACCAATTCATAAATGTGAAATATAATGCAAAATAAACCCCTTTGATTACCGCATTCTATTTAGCAATCCACATACCGCCTTTGACACTTTGATATTTAATTGATACAATAAATGAGATTTAAAACTCTCAGATGACAGGATGCTTTCTTTCAGCAAAAGTTAAGCCCTACAAAAATGCATAAAACATTCAAAAATAGTAAGTACCGTCACTTAAGGTGTTTTTCGAAATTACTGATCATGGTAAAAACCATAGAATGAATCGACAACTCGCCTCAAAATTCAATCGCAAAGGTGAAGCGGAGCTTCGCAACTTTTGCGAAACAACACAAACATAGCATGTCAAACCAGTCGAAAAAAAATGAGACGAAAACCGCGCGCTGAAAAAATTACATTCACTAAAAAACAAGGCCCGAAAATTTCATGTTTGTCACGAATTGTCTTGAAATTGTCATTAAGAAATGAAATGAACTAAAAAAGAAAACATAGCCAACAGAGAGTTGAAAACGAGTCAAGGAACCCATGTAAACAGAAAAAAATACTGACTTGTTTTTTTTTGAAAAAGTATCAACTTTCAAATTTCGAAGAAAAAATAGATGCACTTAAAGGATTTTGAATTTCTAGAACACCTCTTGATAAACTTAATCCAATCTGAGAAAACTGGATCAATAAGTAAATTTTAAAATAGCTGGGAAATCTGAAAATTAAATTCAACTTTCGAAACTAGAAGTCGATCATGTTTTTCGTGAAATTTACTCTTTTGCAGTTTGACAGAGGAGTTTGGCTTCCGTTTGACAAAGGAAATTAGCAGAACTAATAAGAAACCAAAAAATCAAACCAAGAAAAACTTTATTTGAGCGTGAATTTCAAAAGAAATCATCACGACCTATATAAGAGTCTGAGCTACGTTCATTGAATCTTAATCAGAAACCTTTTGAGCAAAATAAATTTTAAAAAAATAACAAAAAAATGAATTTATAACATAGGCGCTACGCGCAATACACCGAAGGCATAGAAACTGAAGCAAAAACCAAACAACTTGAACAACTAATAATTGAAGAATAACAGTTCTAGAACAAAAAATCGTACTAATACATGTATACACCAAAATTTTGCTATATCGAGAAAGAGCCTGAAATAACAGTTCTAGAACTAAAAATCGTACTAACACATGTATGGGTTAAATTTTTGATATATCAACGAAGATCATAAAATAACACTTCTAGAACTAAAAATCGTACTAACACATGTATACACCAAAATTTTACTATATTGACAAAGGGCCTGAAATAACAGTTCGTGAGCTAAAAATCGTATATATAAAAAAAATAAATCAATACATAAATAAATAAATACATACATAAATAAATAAATAAATAAACGCAAAACTGAAATGTACAAATAATTAAATTAACATGAAAAAATATATATCTCATGAACAAATAACCAAACAAACAGACCCATAATATAAATAAATGAAAGTAAATGAATTAAATAAATACACATACATAAATAATAAAAGCAAAACTAAATGAAAGAAAGAATAATTAAATAAATATAGAAATAAATATCAACAAATAAACAAAACACACCTGATAAATAAATAAGCAATAAAAAAATAAATCAATACATAAATAAATAAATAAATACATAAATGAATACATAAATAAATAAATATATAAATAAATAAAAGCAAAAGTGAAATGTAGAAATAATTAAATAGACATGAAAAAAAATATATGAACAAATAACCAAACAAACAGACCCATAATATGAATAAATGAAAATAAATAAATGAAATAAATACACATACATAAATAATAAAAGCAAAACTAAATGAAAGAAAGAATAATTAAATAAATATAGAAATAAATATCAACAAATAAACAAAACACACCTGATAAATAAATAAGCAATAAAAAAATAAATCAATACATAAATAAATAAATAAATACATAAATAAATACATAAATAAATAAATAAATAAATAAATAAAAGCAAAAGTGAAATGTACAAATAATTAAATAGACATGAAAAAATATATATGAACAAATAACCAAACAAACAGACCCATAATATAAATAAATGAAAATAAATAAATTAAATAAATACACACGCAGAAATAATAAAAGCAAAACTAAATGAAAGAAAGAATAATTAAAAAAATAAACAAAACACGTGATAAAAATAAACAAAAATAAATATGTACATACATAAATTATGAATAAATATAAGCAAACTAAACATAATTAAATAAATAGAAGAACAGATAATTAAATAAATAAAGATGAACAAATAAAGAAACAAACATACGCAATCACGTGACATAGCGCGATATAGTCCAGCCCACATGATAATTGATAACTGTGGACGTTATTTGTCGACACTTGACAACAGACAACATTAAAAAAAAAACCCGTTACACGATACCATAACACCTTGACTAAAGTCTTCGGTGTAATAAATCTGAATTGTTAAATTTACAAGCAAAAAAAATCCAATAGACAGAATTATTCAAACTGCATACATGCTCAAAACATGTCTGTTGAATGATAAATATTAAAAGTGATTCTGCAGCTCTGTGAGACAAGTTGCTTTGTTCAATGAAATAAAATTAGATTTTTTTTTTCATTTTTTCGCCATGTTTTGTTTTATTTATTTTTTTTCAGTAAAGGTAATGGCAATGCAACAATTAGAGGAAATAGCAGCTAAATTAATTTAGAAATTGCAATAAATGGAACTGACAGCTCTGTGTCATGTGTAATCTTCGTGTCCTTTAGTCTGAAAAATGAAAACTTCAGACCAGTTTCTTTCAAAACTGACACACATTTTGGTATTTTTTCACAAATCCAAATCAAGACAGAAAAAGCTTTATTATGAAACATGCTAGCCTTCTTTGAGGTATTCACAACCGGACGGGAAAAATCCTTTGCTAATCTGAAGTTCTTTCCGTCACTAACGCGGTCGGAACACTAACGCGGTTAAAATTTGTTACAGAACTGGCAAGCTACAAGAAAAAAAACATGTCATCAGTTGAAGACTAGCTGCTGAGAAGTCGTCAAAACTAGCAGAAGTACCAAGTTATAAACAAAAACATTTCTAGTAATCGATTAGGAGACTTAGACTTTCGAAACGTAATGAAACAAACTGAGCGCTTACGTCAGACGCTGGAATGTATTTGGTCTTAAGATGATCAACCAACAGAGGCGAGAAGTCCAAAGGCAGCTTTCCACTCTAAAATAACAACTCCAACAAATCGACACGAACACACACAATCAAGCCCAAACAACAAATCAAGCTAGGTAATGAGTCATTACCAAATACATGAATAAATCTGCTCTTGATATTTTGCTTTATCTTTTTTAATTGAAAATGTTCAAAATAAAACTACCATGAATCAAGATAAAAAATAATGGGGTCTGATGATACTCAAATTTGCACATACCTGCTGGAAAGATTGGAGGAAAATAGAAAGCGCTAGTCTGACTGGCGAAAAAGGGCAATTTTCAGCCCAGTGCTGGATCTTAGCCAACAACTGCCACACTCTTAGACCTCCACCGCCTCGTCCTCCACTTGAATCTGAAGACTCCGATTCCCTTTGAATCCTGTGGTCTTCCGTGCCATTTACTGCACCAAAGGTCTCCATATGACCATTACTGGTGCCATCTGATCTTTTTAACTGTAACTGCATTTGAACCTTTGCTCCGTCTCCGGGACGTAACTCTGATTCTCTCGGGGATCCGAATCGTGTTGAGTCTCTTGGATCTGTATCTTGAATGTCTTTGTTCCAGGCTTGGTCACTGATGTTGAACGAAGTGCCGTTATGACTTGGCCGGTTGAGATTCTCGCTGTTATTGTTGAGAAAGTCGTTGAGAAGGGGTTCCAGATTATCCCGCACTATGCTCTCAGCAATCTCCACACTCGCAACTCCGTCCCACCTGAAAAGACACAGACCGGTTACATAGCAGTATTTAGACAACCGCGTATTCAGACACGTCAGTATTTAGACAAATACTGCTTTAACCAATCAGAATCGAGACAAGCAAGAAATTAATAAACAATTATGATTTATTTTGGATTATTTATGTCTTATCTCGATTCTGATTGGTTCATACAGTATTTGTCTAAATACTGACGAGTATGAATACGCGGTTGTCTAAATACAGACCGCACTCCACGCAGACCTTAGGGCTACATCAGAATAGGTGGTTAACATACAAATAGACATTTTGCATGTTATAAACATAATTCTATAGTGAGTATAAATTAATATCCATGTCAAAAAAAACTGCAACTTACTTGAGTATATGAACTAGTCTTTTCCTAACTTTTTAACATTATCTCTCCTACTAGCAGGATTGAAATACAATTTGACAAAACAGGAGACACAGGGTTGAATTTTTGAAAAATGGTCAATGGAACTATTTAAAAGGTCTGGCTCGATCAAAAGTTTTGTTTTTGAGGCTTAATTGCCCAATCAATTATAACTGGTCAGTGAGGTGTTCTTATTGTTCAAAACCGTGAAGAGAAAACATTTGTTCACCTGCTCGTTTGAAGATAAAAAATTGCAATTCCTTGTACTGTGACTGTAACATAAATATAACTTTTAGGCAGAGCTTCGCATCAATTGCTATGCATGAAGAGAAATATTTATTACAACTTATGAAACCATAATGAACTAAATAAATTCGGGGAAAAAATTTAAAAAATACTTTTTCTGAGAGCAAAGAACCAATGAAATAAACGCATTCCTTACACACTATTTATGAGCACATCAACGCCGAAAAAAATTGCTAAAATTAAAAAAACTTTGGAACAAAGAATCTTTGGAAACAACATCCTTAAAACTTGCACGAATTTATTATATCAGGTAAATCTCAAAAATCTCTCCAATTGCGACACTTCCGCCAAAAAATCATACTGAAATGGAAACCTGCAAAAATAACCTGCAAACGGAAAATAAAATCTTTGAAGATTCTTTAATAATCCTTATTGAATTATTGGTCGTTATACCCCAAGAAGCCGATTGCTCTTTTTAAATGGTTCCCTTAGACCTGCAATGGTTTATATTTTGCTGACGGTGTTAAATTTTCATTAAAAATGCGGTGTGGATTAATTGACACATTAAAAACACTTTTTGTTTCATAATATCAATGGAAACACCGTATAGTTGTTGTCTAAATATAGCCGCCACTTGCTGGAAAGTAGCAGAGACTAATTGAAAAGTTTTTCCAGTTTCTAACCCCCTCGTAAAATTACTAAATAAAACTGTGCAAAAATTGTTCACGCCGCGTTTTGCATGCAAGAATTTGTTAACCTGTTCACGTTGACAGGAAATTTTACTCAAAGAACGGAATGAAACTCTAATTGCTATTGAAGAATGCTTTGTAAAATCAATTCAAAACGAGGCTATTATTAAGGGATGATTTTAAAAATAGGGGGGGTGGGGTTTGAACGCCGCTTTCCTCAGGGATTCGACCTCCTGCCGACCCAAAGGGTCCCCCTTTGGTACTTTTTAAGAAATCCATTTTTTGCCAACATATTCTAACTTTGAGGGGGGAGCACGCGCTGAAAAAACGCAATTTTTTGGTCAAAGTTTTCCAAAAAGTGCCTAAAAACGCCTTTTTGGGACTTTTTTCAAAATTTTGCCTGCGGCGCTGAAAATTTGGCCAATACAGGGACTAAACTGTGCTTAGGGAGAGCTCGAGAAAATGAATTCGGTCGACCTAAAAAAATAAAAGGTCGACAAAATTTTCGAAAATTTTTTGAAAATCCGCCCCCCCCCCTCGAGAAAACCCTAGATCCGCCCCTGCGCATATGTTTCCATCTATTCTCCAACACACTTTCCAATAAAAAAAATTGCCAAAAGCACAGGCGAAGAAATCATTTACCGAAAAGGGAATTTGCTGAGCAATTTCAAGTTTTGTAGTCAGATAAAATCATAAGATGAAATCATTTATACACAGAGGCGAAGCTGAGCTTCGCACCACTTGCGATTGAACACGCACATAAAAAACATAAATCGAAAAAATGGAAAACGTTGAAAAAAAATATTTCTACCAAAAACCAACGTTTCGTATGTCTCGATAGCATTTCATTCTAGGCTAACATGTCAGAAATTTAGTATTAATTTAGCAACGGAACAAAACTCACGAAGAGGAAACAAAGCCGAAAATCTTTGAGAGGACACAAGTTCAGCTGAAAAATATGATTTCATAAACTACAATGAACAACACTTGAAAACAGATCAACGCCTGAAAACCGATCAAAATTAGCTAGACGTTAAAAAAAATCATGAAAAAATTTTCATTAGCGATCAAGAAAACAGAAAAAAATTTCACTTGTTTTTAATTTTGTTGAAACTACTCAAAATCGGAGAAACTCAATAAATGCATTAGAAAACTTAGACAGCAACTCAACTTGACATAGCAAAACGAAGAACTCGTCTAGCAATTTTGATTTAAAATGTCAAAAATTTTCAATATAATAATTTCTGATTTGCTGGCAAATCAGGCTTGTTTGGTTTTCTTTAATTTTAGAGTTTATATTTCTTACTTATATTAAAAAAGGGTCTGGTAAATTAATTTAGATTATTCCAAGACATATGGTAACACTTCAACCATTCTTACAAAAACAAGAAGTAATTGAAAACAATCATTCGGAAAATAATCCGACGGATCTAAAACCGACTCTCAAGTGCCGAAAATAAACCAAAAAATTTCGGCACAAAATACTATTAAAGAAACTCATAAAAGGCACACCAGTCCCATGCCTAACATGAACCCACTACATTTACCTCTCCAGTAAAACACGTGTAACAATTTTAGGTCCGAAATCTGTGCCTAAAATTATTTAAGGGAAAAAGTCAAGTACCCGATTGCAATACTTGCTTATCGCAAGAGTAATCATAACAATACTTAAATTACTTTATTGTGAATACGAAACTGAAAAGCAAAAACAAAAATAAAAAAACACGATAAAAAATCAAAAAGGATTACAGGAATAAACCATACCTAATTTCAATTTCATTATAGATTGCCTAAAGCAGACAAGAACAGGAATGAGCCAGATTTATTTTCAATTTCATTGTGATAACAAAAACAGCTGGCCTGACTCAAAACCCTGCCCTTCGCTGTTCCAAGCAAGTTCAATACCTAGCAATAAAATTACAATCAATAAAAAATCAAGTTTGGATTCGAGATTAAAAAGAAACGATTCTTTTATTTGGCAACAAAGCCGGCAGACAAATATTAGGCCAACAATTTTGTTTGAAATAGAAATTTTTCGTTTGGAAAAAAAACAGATCTTTATCAGACTCGAACCCAAGAACTTTGACGTGCCATGCGTTATCATGACCTCCAAGCTAAGTGCGCAGGATACAAAAGAAAATTGAAATCATTATGGAACTAAGTTCCAACAAGAGTCCAGATGAGCCCTGTGAACAAAACTATTTACGGGAAAAAGTCTAGTAAACGATTGAAATACGCTTGCTTATCGCAAGGGCAATAAACGCAATTGAAAACAAACAAAAAAAATGAAAACTACGTGGTTTAAATGAAGACAAAGTTGCTAACAATGACAAAAATAAAAAGTCTAGGAAAGCATGAACACTGAATCATTTCAAACCCACTCCTTCATTTTAACCATTTGTTTTCAGCTCACTCTTATTCGAGCTTCGATATTTGACTCAATTAATCAACGATTCGCATTTTTTTGCACGCAAGCTAAAACAGGACATTTAAAGTAAAATGGTTTCCAAGGATCTTGTTAACTATTTCCTCCCTTATGGTACCTAGTAACGAATTGGCCTTTAATAAAAACACAGGCTATATTTAATTTTCATCCAAACCTTGAAACGAATTGGCCTCCAAATTGCAATAGGAGAGAAAATAGTTAACAAGATCAGTTTCCAAAAATAAACAAGCTTACTGGGATTCGAACCAACGATCACATCTCAATAACTCCTTCCGTTTTTTGTCGTTGAAATAATAGTTGTTAAAGTAAGTACCAAAAGATAATTTCTTTTAGAAATCGTATCACACAATGCGCATGCTGCGTAGCAATTATGCTCATGTAATTCTGGCATAATTGCCTGACATGTATTTTTCTGACCTGTAGTTTTTCTCTTTCTCTTCCTGGTCACCACCATCATAGTCCTCTTCTGTGTCGTCTCTCATCTCAATTGTTGTTGCACCATAATCATCACAATCCATTTCTGATGCGGAACTGTGTACTTCGCTACTACCAGTTTCTGCAACAAAACACGAAAGTAACTTGGAAAAAACTGGTTACATGTCAGTATTTAGACAACCGCGTATTCAGACTGGTCAGTATTTAGACAAATACTGTTTCAACCAATCAGAATCGAGACAAAGAAGAAATTAATAAATAATTATTATTTATTTCAGATTATTTATGTCTTTTCTCGATTTTGATTGGTTCATACAGTATTTGTCTAAATACTGACGAGTATGAATACGCGGCTGTCTAAATACTGGCTGCACTCCGAAAAAACTATACTATACTAATCATGATAGAAGTATACTAATCAATGTCAATTATGCGTATTCTTTTCTTTCTCATTTGATTCAATGCTCTTTAATTAGATAAGCTTATGATCCCGATCTTGAAGTATCAACTTCTCAAAATAGTGAATAATTTTGATTTTTAGAAGAAAGAAATAATTAAATAAACATTTTCCGCCCCACGCTTAGTTTGAATTTGTATTAAGAGTAAAATACTCATTTATGATTGGCTGAATATTCAGAAACAACCCGCTCTTAAACCGTTTCTTGGCGAGGATATTAACTTGGTGCAAAAAAATACATTTTCATTACCCCCTTGCGACGAATAGCACAGGGGTACATCGTCTGGATCTCTGCCTCCCCCCACATTTTTAACACTGATTCGACCTGCTGTCAAGTGGGGGTGTGATAACAACCGGCACAGTACATGTTCGATCTGAACCACTAGACAGTCCAGTCTTTTCTCACATTCGAGTAGTATGACGTCACTTGTTACATCATCAATTGCCTCATTGGCATCTGGTGCGTTGGGGTTGTTGTCTCTACCGCCTAGATTGTTCAAATGCCATTGCTTCCGACTTGCTCCTATTCCCACTACATTGTTGTTATTGTTGTTGTGTGGCTGGCCATCTTTGCCCATCACACCTGAAATGTTCACAAAAGTGATTAATCTGCGCAGTTTTCCAGAAAATGTATCCTCAAAATCTTTTTAAGTCTACAAAATTGTTGGGATGTGATGTAGACCTGAACTCATTGGTGCCTTCCATTAGCAAATAGAAGGCGCAAAAAATGGAGGTCCACTGTTATTCTTTCTCGTTGCTTGAGGGTGAGTCGACCTCTTCCACTCAGACAATAGCCGAAAAATGCAATTAGGGGACAATCTCCAGCGGACCCACTCGGCCGCGTGTTTTACCCGAGGCCGAATGGGTAAGACGCGCGGCCTTTAACACAAAGGCCGTGGGTTCGAATCACGCTTCGGTCAAGGTTCGAGGGGTTCTAGTGTAATCCGCCCCTTCAAGGTAGGACTGACTGTGGCAAATGGATTGCATCTTTCTCCCCCATGGAAAAAGGCAGAGCTAGACAGGGGGGCTAATGAAACAAAAAAACAGTCTCGATTCGCCGTAGTGCACTGAATAGCTCGTATGCTGCTAGTTTGCGTAGTAAATTAAATGTCATAGCCTGTCATACCGAAACGCATGAGATAGCACCCAGCAAAGACTTGAAAAGATATTGAAATCAATTCGCTTAAGCTTTTTTTAAAACTAATTATTTGACTTATTGTATGAACTGCGTAAATGAGCCATAGTAGACGGTTTCTGTGCAAGTAGCATAGAACATTTTGACCACAATAATAAAAACAAAAAACAAAATTTTCAAACAGTCGTATTGCATTCATGGTGTGACGAGAGGATTTAAACGGAGGCCTACAACTTCGACAGTAATAGCAAATGGCGCATGTTCGAATCCAGATTTTTTCAGATTACTAGAAGAAAACTAATCTTTTATGGCTTGAAAACAAGTTTATCGCCCCATATTATCAGCCCCATATTAAGGTTTTTTGGAAATTTTTTAAAATGGTATTTTAAAACGGTTTTCTCAGCACCGAAGAAATTTCAAAACCTATTTTCTCAAAACGGTTTTTCTCAACACTGAAGACGTTTTTGGAAATTTTTTACACAGATGCGCTTCGCACATACGAACGAGAACACGACAAAAAGCAGCTCTATAAAATTCAATGAGAACATTAGAAATAAGCCTCGTAAAAAATTCAGTTACGTCTCGGATTAGAACCTGCGACCTACATATAATGAGTCTCACACACTAACCACTCAGCCCACGGACGCTTACTTAATCACAATCACTAGCCACAAATAAAGCAGATAACACATACTATGCAATTTCCAATCCTACATTAAAATTTCCATATTAATGAACTCTTTTATTTGCTAGTTAGTTTCGAAAAAAGAAGGCTCGTACTAATACACTAACGCTCGTAAGCTTGCTAGTGTAAAAACGGTTTTAAAAACTTTTTATTCGGCACTGAAGAAATTTTAAAACGGGTTTTCTCAAATTGGTTTTTCTCAACACTGAGGACGTTTTTTGGATTTTCAAAAACGAATTTTTACCCAATTCAGAAAATTTCAAAAAGTTTTTCTCTTTACTGTGAATTTCATGAATAAATTTTTCATTTCATTGGAGGTATTTAAGATTGTAATTCTTGTTTTTATCGATTAACCTGTATAGTTAAAATTCAGTCTGTTCTTCTGCTCTAAGATTCGCTCTGCTTTCATTTATTAGGATGCAGACTAATTATGCCAGGAAAAATATATTAACTTTTCATAAAAACGTTGTAAAACCACTCATTACTCCATAAAAATGATGTTCATGAGAGGTGGGGTGGGGAGGAAAAAGAGTTATTGAGACGGGGAACTTTGCACTCACTGATTTTTCTAAATTGGCTTCGAAAGCCGGAACAAAGCAATTAATTATTCATAGCAATGACTTCCAAGCGGAACTAATTCAACGCGCGCACGAATTCTCCTTAAATTGCTTGCAAAAGAGGAACAATTTACAGAGAGGAATTAACAGGTAACAAGTGGAGAAAGCTAATTGAAATCGTCGACAACTCAACTCTATAGAGAAAAGAAAACAGAGAAGCGAAGCTTCGCTTAACTTGCAATACAATCGGGAAAAAAATCTAAAAAAACTCGAAGCTGCTGAAAAAACTCAACCTATCAAAACGAATGAAGCTAGTTTCAAAAAAACATGTCAGACAAGAACGTGAAATTAGCATAGGAACACATAGCATGCGGCAAAAAGCCGAATGTTTTTGAGCAGAATAATATAGAGCGAAATCATTTAGGCGTAAAGAAGTTTTTAGGCTAAACATACGAAAAAAAAAGAAATCAAGGTTTGAAGTTAACCAAAACACTAAAAGCAACTACAAAGTAAACTGCTTCCAGCAAGAAAAAACAATTCTACTATGTGGCAACTGAGCCGACAAAACAAAAGCAGACAAGTAATAGTCCGAATTATATCACAAAAAAAGCGCTTTTTTCATGAAATTAATGTATATTCTAGAGCAAACGCCATCTCTCATGAAGCAATTAATTTTAAGCTGTCCACAAGATTTCCAAAAGCAATTAATTTCAAATTGTCCACAAGCAATTAATTTCGAACTGTCCCAAGGAAAATGTGAAATTGTCCACAGGATTTCAAATGATGAGAATAGCCATCCAACAGTTCAAAATGCAAATAAATCCAGGCACCAGAAGTAACTGAATTGCATAAGTTTCAATATTTAATGATTGCGAACAAATTTCATCATATTAGAACTCTCTCACCTTCAAAACTGGCCAGTTTCAATAGTTTTGCAATTTGAGAAAATTTGGTTAACTGCAGAATTGGTGATTCTACTGTATTACATGCTATAGTAACCTAAGCGTAAGATTGATTCGTCACTAAGTTAAGTAGTATAACAAACAAAGGGTCGAGCTCAAAATAGTTCAAGTTTGGAAGATATCGTCCCTACTATGCCAGAAAATAGACTTTGACAAAATCGGCGAACCCCCCTCCCCCCTCCCAAAAAAAACTGGAACTAAGAAAGCTAATGTTATGAAATTCAGAGGAGCGATACTAGAGATGATCTGACCCAGACTTATGAAAAAACGGGAGCCCTCAGACCTTTGGGGGGGGGCAAGTGATAACTGTCGCAGGAAGTGTAAAGGGCCTTATCAGAACTCGAAAACTAGCGGCGGTACTGGGCTCAAAATTTAGTATGTTGTAGGCCTAGATGGGGGAAGCTTAAGTTTGGAACCCCAGACACCAAGGACCGCCACTTCCGGTTTTATGCATTAAGTAAACAAACCAACCCACCCCAAACTTCTGGAAGTCGTTTCTCGGCATCTAATGATCACAAGGAACTGAAACTTGGAGGGATGATAGGTAATGGCAAGATACATCTTGTATTATAATTTGAACCAAATCCGGCGGTTGGACCGGAAGCTATTAGCACTTGAAAAAAACACCCCCTTAGACCGGAAATAAGCAACTAACGCAAAATATTGAACGGTGGCACAAGGATTTTATTGCAGCAATCGACACAAGATACGAACCCTGAAAAAAGCCACCTAGTGAGTGAAAACCAGTGACTCCTTCCGGTGTTAATAGCCTTTTTCCGGAAAAACTGATAATGGACCTTAGAAATGGGGTAACTTGTGAAATATTAATGGGATATAGATAGAACTTGGGAGGTAGGACCCCATGGGATTCTGCAACCAAATATGGAAGTTTGACCCTGGTTGACCCCTGGGTGACCTCAAGTTGACCTTTCGGCGTCTTGATCCCAAAAGTGCATACAAAACCCTGATATTGACACCGGAAAGTTGCGTATTATCAGCCCAACCTCTGAAATAAGAATGTATCACCCTTCTAAAAGATGAGAGGAAAACTCATATATTGGGAAATAGAGCAGAAGCTGATAGAGATATAGTTTTATAATGCAACTTTGAGGTAGAGTAATTCAAAGTGGACTTGGTAAACATTGGAGTCAGTTTAGCTTGGCGAATGATTAGTCGATCCCAAACCTGTTTTTGAAAACTTGTCACTCAGCTCATTGGTGCTTGTTCATTATCTAATTGCGATCCCACCTCAATATTGCTGAACATTGCGTTACTGTGAACATTAGCTGCTTTTAGGAGAGTTTGGGTTCTTCTGTGAGGAGTTAGTTTATTAGCATTCAAGTCCCTTTAGTTAGTATTTCTGTAACAAATAGTGCTTACTAGTCGAATCTGATTGTTCATCATGGGACTGACTGATGAGTTCGCGACTTTGTTCAGAGAAATATAACTCGGAATTTAGGTAGGGTTATTATAAGATGAGGCAGCAGATAGGCTTAATCTAACTTGGTAGAAAGACGGTAAGTTGAACTTTGTCAATAGCATTATCCGTGAGAAAAATGGACTAGAAGGGAAGACTGTAGAATTGGTGATTCTACCGTATTACATGCTATAGTCACCTGAGCGTAAGATTGATTCGTCATTAAGTCAAATAGTACAACAAACAAAAGGTCGAGCTCAAAATACTTCAAGTTTGGCAGATATAGTCCCTCCTATGCCAGAAATTAGACTTTGACAAAATCGGCGAACCCCCACCCCCCCCCCCCCCCCAAAAAAAAAACTGGAACTAAGAAAGCTAATGTTATGAAATTCAGACGAGCGATACTAGAGATGATTTGACCAGGGCTTATGAAAAACGGGAGCCCTCAGACCTTTGGGGGGGGGGGGCAAGTGATAACGGTCCCCGGAAGTGTAAAGGGCCTTTATCAGAACTCGGAAACTAGCGGCGGTACTGGGCTCAAAAACTAGTATGTTGTGAGCCTAGTTGAGGGAAGCTTAAGTTTGGAACCCCAGACACCAAGGACCCCCACTTCCGGTTTTATGCATTAAGTAAACAATCCAACCCACCCCTAACTTCTGGAAGTCGTTTCTCGGCCTCCAATGATCACAAGAAACTGAAATTTTGAGGGATGATAGGTAATGGCAAGATACATCTTGTATTATAATTTGAACCAAATCCGGCGGTTGGACCGGAAGCTATTAGCACTTGAAAAAAACACCCCTTAGACCGGAAACCCCCCCCCCCCC